TCTACATTTTGAAATACATACTGCTGTAATTGTTTTCAAGATGATAGCGCTGCTTTATTCAAAATGCAGTTTCTGGATCGAAATATCCTCCTTTTATTTTCTGTGGTATGGCAGATAACTGTTGCATCGCATCTTTTATTTCTAAGAAATGTACTACACAAGGGTGTTAGTAATAGCTCTGCAAAAAAGGAAGCTCTGTGGTGGAAGCAGAGGGGCCATAGTGGATAAACTGTGCAAAAGGCTGCTTGTTTGGAAATCAAATTTAATTTAAAAGAGCTTTCAATCACTAGTTAATATAACTGCTTTAAATTTACAGACAGTGGGAGTAGCTCACCGTTACCCAAGTACGCTTCATCTCCCAAACCAAACAACAGCTACATGTTCAAACGGGAGCCCCCAGAGGGATGTGAGCGAGTGAAGGTCTTTGAGGAAATGGCGTAAGTAATGTCTTTTCTATCAGCTGGGATCTGCAAAGCTGTAAAGCTTTTTTTTACTGAGACCAGTTGATTACAGATGAATCAACTACTCCATCCAGCTGATAACGTGTCTCAAAACCAAATTATAAGAAGAAAATTGAATAAGCAGAAGGGATCTTAGTGTAGCATTGGAGTCTGTATGCTGGAAATACATAAACTTAATACAGAAACTTGGAAATTCATCCTTACTACCTAAAATATCTATTTTTGATCACTAAGAATTTTCCTCTCAAAACCTCTGTTGATTTAGATGGCTAACAAGGAGTTTAGCGGCAAATATCCATGTGTGGCTGGCCTTACGATAGTGATGCCCCAAACCAGAAGGAAACTAACATGTCTCCCTATAGACGCTATCTAGCATGTGTATTCATTTAATGGAGACAGTTTTTTTTTTCTTTTTGAATGTTCAGTACGCATTAAATTAGAAATTAAAGAAGAGGTTCATGCTGTGAATACTTGGCAGAGTAGCTCAAAAAAAAAAAAAAGACTCTGTGGCTCTTAGACTCACTCATCCCTTTGTCCCAGTGCAAGTGCCTGGGGAAGGCTGCTGTACTCTTGCAACCTGGAAGGGGACAGAGACTGGTCTTGCAGGAGTTGATGGCTAAGTTCTGGGAGTAGGAGGGGAGGAAAGGCTTCAGGACCCTGCTCCGCTGGGCTGTGACCGGCTCTTTGAGAAATTTTCTGATCTGTTGGTAGATGTGTAGCAATGCAGAAAAAGGAGGAAATGCTTAAAACCAAATATAGGATTAGGTCATCCCTCTCCCATTGCACTTTTTCTTAACAGAAAAGGTCATTCTAACCTTGCATAATCTTCAGCTATAACATAGGAGGTTTTTCCATCTTCCTAAATGATTGAAAGCAAACTAATGATCTTAGAAAAAATTTGCCCAGTCCTTTTGAAGATCCTTTGGTGTCAAAATTCACTCAGTGCTGTGCACATCCGTAGTCTGCCAGCTGACTTGTGCTATGGAAGATGTTTACCCCTCTGTGTACACTTAACTCATTCCCTGCCATTTGCATTGTAGCTGTTGTAGAGAACTCCAGCTAAGTGAGAAAGTTTGGAAGTTGTTAGTGATTATAAATGTCATTTTGTCTTATGGTTTTAGGTCTCGTCAGCCTATCTCAGCCCCTCTCTTTTCATGTCCTGACAAAAACAAGGTTAATTTCATCCCAACCGGATCAGCTTTCTGTCCTGTAAAACTTCTAGGCCCTCTCTTACCTGCCTCCGACCTGATGCTCAAGAACTCTCCTAACTCTGGCCAGAGCTCGGCTCTGGCCACTCTGACCGTCGAGCAGCTCTCCTCCCGGGTTTCCTTTACATCCCTTACTGACGACACCAGCTCCGTGGGCGCCACGGAGGCCTCCGTCCAACAGCCGTCCCAGCAGCAGCTCCTGCAGGAACTGCAGGGTGAGGAACACATCTCTGCTCAGAACTATGTGATCATCTAAAGTGAAGGGGGAGCTGGCCTCTACCCTACCTTCATGGATTAGGAACTAGACCTCAGACATCTTATCTGCATGGAGTGACAAACTTTTTGAACACCACCACCACCAACAGAATACTTATCAGCATCATAAAGTATCTCTTGACACTGATCTTGGCAGGGACGGAACTCCTATTCAGCAGTTTTTGTGGAAAGCAGTAATGCTTGCAAAATGTGTGTGTCATTCAGCATTTTAAGTGGAGACTATGCATTTCATAGTATGTTTGACAGAGTAGTAGTGTGTCCTGTGTTTTGTTCCAAATTCTTCAGTATAAATAAGCTCTATATCAAAAAGTTGCCTGTCTAAATAGAAAAATGTCTTGCTGTGTTTTGTCCTATGGAAAATACTGTACTTCAGGATTATGTTTACAATTGATCCAGGTGTTTGTTTCTAACTTCTGTAATACATACAATGCAAAAAAATAAATAAATAAATGGCCACAACAGTTGCACAGTGCCCACCCTATGGCCTAGCTTCAGGTACTTCAGTTGAAGTCTAAACTCAGGTAACTTGGAATGTATATCATATTGGGATATTAAATATTTCACAGCTAAAAAGCTAAAGAGGGAACATCACTCTTTTGCCTTTCCTTATTTTCTGCATTTCCCTTTCCTCATTACATTCCACATTCTTAGAATAAGAAGTGCATTCAACCCTAGGAGAACAATAATCCTGGACATGGGTGAACATGAGGAGAACCAGCAAATCTGTGGTGTCTGACATCACTTTTGTCATGCGGTTACAAGTAACACAACTGTTGAATCCACTGTTTCAACATGTGTAGATGTGGCTTTTTTTTTTTTTTTAAACAAGTTCAGGTGTTGCTCAGTTAATGACTGTTCTAATGTTGCAAATAAAGCGTCTGATACCAGGCTGTATGTAAACATTCCAATTGTGTGTAATGGGATTTAAAAACAAGAAAGTATAGGTTTGATTTCCAAACAAGTGAACTTCCCCAGGGGATGGTGGAGATTTCTTGTTTATGTTGCCCATCAGGGTCATGAAATGCCATTGTTTTAGCTAAAGGCATATTAGTGTTCAGTTTCACTTTTGGAAATGCTTTAATTTGCAGGTTGAAAAATGACACGCTTTTGGTTAATTGTTTTCCTCAAGCACTTGAGGTGTGCGAGTCACATTTGTGTGGAGAGAGAGCATGCGGGTCTCAGATGCTGTGCACATTAGGAAGCAGGTTCTTTGGTGACTTACATGGCGGTCACTCACAGCTGCCTCATTGCGTCTCTCCTCACAATATCATGGATAGTTCTGGTAGTATTTTGGATGTGCAAAGTAAAGCCTATACCCAAGTAAGCAGTCTTGAACTCACAGACTTGACCCGAATTCTCAACAGTGTGAAGAGAGCCCTAGATACTCTTGAGTGGTCAGTGGAAGAGCCCAGCTCTCAGACTTTGTTTTCTGCGGCGCAAAGAGAGTATCCTAAAGCAGAGGGAGGTTTTTGTATTTTTATTCCATTCTTCAGTTCAGTAAAACACAGAGTTGTTTCATCTGTACCTACTACAGTATATGGCACAGTTTTCTTAACAGTTAGGGGAATAGGTGCCTACAGTTATAGGAACGTTTCAGTTCCTTTCAGTCATTCCTCGGGATTTCTTTGTTTTATTTCCTAAGGAGGGTGAAGAAAGAAGAAGTGATAAAGAAGAAAGCAACACCATTGATTTTTTTTTTTTTTTTTTTTAGAAATGGTATATATATATATGTATATGTGTGTGTGTGTATGTATTTTGTGTATTATTTTTTCATGATTCCAATTATCTTCTTTCCACCAAAGTTTGCAGTAATATTCTCTCCTGAAGGTGCATTCTGGCTCCTTTAAATTAGTCAGTGTTATATTGTAGGAGACTGTCATGGAAAAGGACTCAGTTTACTTTTGCCATTTTCACAGGGGAACCTTTTAAAACAATCTCTTCAGCAGCAGACACCTTTAACCCTAATAATCTCAGGCCTTGATGAAAATACTATATTTTGTAGATTATGGTTAAAGGGAGAAAATTATTCTGTAAGATAAATATGAGCTCCATTAACTTCTGATATCTGGTTTAGCATTACATAATGTATTGATCTTATGCTCTGCTTTTGTCCAAATAAGATGCAATAGTATCAATATCAATTTCTGAAAGATGGACTGAATGCTTTTTGGTGATGAAATCTGATGTACGATATTTATAGTGACATGTGCTTTTATTTTCTCATGAGAAACTAAATATTAATTGTGTTGTACATTTGTTCTTAGCATATATTAAAGTTCCGAACCAAATGTGTTAAAGCTTATGCTTTGCCATGTAAATTTCCCAGAAGTTGTTGAGCTCAAATGTATCCTACATCCAGCTGTAGAAATTTGTCAGAAATTGTTTAAATTTTGTACATAGTTGTACTGTTTAATTCTAGCCACTGCGCTGAACAGTATTCGAGTTACCATACAATATGGCTTTACACAAGGAAATGTGTGGCTTTTGTTTTGTATTTTTTCAGTATAGAAGTTCCTGTGTCTTATTTAAATAAAGTTATTAGTAAAACCAGAATAGTTCACCTATGTTTTTTGGAAAGATTTGTTCGTAAGCACCTTGCCCAACAGAGATACACTTAGGTCAGGGTGATGGCAGTATCTGGTGCTCACTGAATTCCTGACCTGTATCTCTGGTGCTGGAGGGACTCTGACCGGATCAGATTTCCACAGCCTGGTTTCCTCTTGACATGTCATTTACACACTTTCCATCACACAGTAAGAAGCTGGATGTCTAAAGTTCCAAGTCTTTGTACCGCTCCCAACTGTGTGAGCACCTCAAATAGAGAAAACACTGCCCTTACATTTTTATTCGATACCTAAGAATTTTTTATGGAAGTAATTCTTTTTATTGTTTTTTATTTTTTTAATGTTTATTTATTTTTGAGAGACAGAGAGATAACAAGTGGGGGAAGGGCAGAGAGAGAGGGAGACAAAGAATCTGAAGCAGGCTCCAGGCTCTGAGCTGGCAGCACAGAGCCTGATGCGGGGCTTGAACTCACAGACCACGAGATCGTGACCTGAGCTGAAGTTGGACAGTTAACCAACTGAGCCAGCCGGGTACCCCAAAGTCATTTTTTTTTTTAAGTCCACTGACATCACCTCAAAGGAAGTTGTGTGTTTCTTACAAAGAAAACTGCAGCAAAAAATTTTAAATTGTTTACTCTTTTTATTTAGGTTTAGATTTGGGATAAGAGGGAGAAAACCTTAACAGAACAAAGGAGTTGTTGATGTTATGCCCAGTTATCCAGATAGGGTCATGATAGGCCTCATGGTGGCCTGAGAGCAAAACAGACTACTTTGAGAAATAATTTGCCAGCAGTCTTCTTCATTTCCGAAGCATATCTCCTCAAAGAGGTTGGTAAGATTTTACCTTTAAATTTAGCTTAAAAATGTGTAATTAGCTATGTTTTGGGCTGAAGAAAAAGTAAAATATAACTTTTCAATGGTGATGTTTATCAACAGTTTTCTTGAAGATGATACATAACTTGGGCAGGAAACGATCTATCCGAGGTTAAAAGTCCACTGCAGGTGACTGTGAAGGAGAAAGTGGAATTCTCAGCTCCATCTCTGCTTGACTTGATCATATAAGCTTAATATAAACAGCCCTGAGAAACAGGTCAGTATTGCAAATTAAAAAAAAAAACAAAACCCAAACCTAAGGAACAAGGAGGGAGGGGAATTAGGTCTAGATCTAAGTTTTAGCCTTATGCTAGCTAAAAATAATCACTTGAAGTTTATTCATGAATATTTCAAAATAAATGTTTGCTCCCACCCCTTCCATCTCTGAAGTTCCATTATCCCTACATGTTCCCAGCAGCTCCTACCTTCTACCCCCGCTTGAAACTCACAAGTCTTTTTTCCCCTCTCTACATACCTTTGGTAAACTCAGGGCTTTTTGGAACTCAGGAGCTTTGTATGGGTCCCTTAATTCACACCTGGAGTCACAACCTAGCATTACAGTTGCAGTTGTCTTGGGGGCATCTCCTCTCAGACTTACTGTCTTATCTCAACTTCACAGATTGAATGGAATGAAGAAGTCTTGTCCCGTGTTGTACTAAATCAGAATACATCCCAATTCTTCCTTTTTCCCTGAAGACAACTGCAGTTCTGTGTTCTGAAGTTTTCTCCACCTACCTCTCTCACATTTGCCTGCCTGTCTTCCTATTTATCTCCCTAAATTTCAAGCTGCAGATCAGACCGTATGTCTTGTGGATGAATTTCTTTTGAAATGGAATTCTGATGGCAGGGAAGCCAGATCATTTAGTATGCTAGATTTCCAGTAACCCCTATAGCTGTAGACCAGGGGTCGGCCAGCTAGTGCCTATAGCCAGATGTGCTGCAGGCCTATTTTTGTGAATAAAATTTACGGAACAAAGCCACACTCATTTGTTTATGTATTGCCTATGGCTATTTTGCAGGACAGTGGCAGAGTTAAGTAGTTGCAATGGAGACAGTCTGGCCCACAATGTCTAAGATAATATTTTACTGTCTGGTCCTTTACAGAAAAAAATGTACCAACCTTTGACATAGGCCAGAGAGCAAACTGGGTTTGGGTAACTTGTATCATACACCTGGTTGCTTTAAAAATACGTCCATAAATCTTTTGATACTCCTCTTTGAGAGGTAGAGCTTCATTTTCCTCCCCTTGAAGTTTGGGCTGGACTTGCTTAGAAATGGAATCCAGCAGTGATGGGCTGTCACTTCTGAGATTAGGCTGTAAAAGGACAGGCTTCTGTCTTGGGTGTGCACTCTCCTGGATCACTTGCTATGGGAGAAGCTCTATTGTGAGGAGACCGAGGCAGTCTTTGCTGAGAGAGACCCACATGTCAAGTAGCTATGGCTGGCAGCTAACGCTGAGGCTCCCCAGCCCACAGCCATGTGGGTGAGCTTGGAAGCAGATCCTTCAGCCCCAGTGGAGCCTTGGGATCACTGCAGCCCCAGCCAACAGCTTGTCTGCTGCCTCATTAGAGACCTTGAACCGGACCTGCTAAATCCTAGGTTCCTCACACTCAGAAACCGTGTGGGACAAGCTGTTTGTTGTTCTAAGGTGCTGAGTTTAGGGGTAATTTGTTACATAGGATTATACAGCTAATACAATAAAGAGCTGCCCTGCCTGCCTCTCCCCCGCCCAACACATACCCATTACTGCCAGCAAGATCACCCAGGGTCTTGTGCCATCCTGCCCCCACCCCGGGTCCAGAAAATGAGGCTTGCCTTTTTGGAATGAACACTTCTTGAAGAAAGCTCTGTGGGACTAGGTCGAACACAAAGCTTTCTCATACAGAATTTTGTTACCTGAACCACCCACAGGGTAAGTCTACAGTATGTGCCTAAAAGTTATCTTGTCCAGTATTAAACCATCTTACCTACGACAACTAATTGGGGGGAGAAATTAGACTCTTGCAGAAAAGTGTTTGCTGTGGAAAATGATGCAAAAAGAGGCGGGATAGGTGATCAGTTTTCAAAGCTGGAGGAAAAAAAAAAAACAAAATCTCAAGAAAATGAGAAATATTTCTACCTCAAATGTCTTAGTTTCTATCCTTAACAGGAGGCTGGTGACCCATTGGTTCTAAAACGGCCTATTCCATTTCACAGGCATTTGTGTCTTTCAAAAAAAAGAGGAAATTTTTTTCAAAGGTTCCAGATCAGTTTGGTGACGGCCCCTCCCATTTAAAACAGCCATTTTCTTAACACTAAGAATTTGAATAATTGGATCACTTTTCCTACAAAAGATTTTCTGATAACAAGGAATGGGTCCCCTTTCACACTATAAATTCTACTCAACTCTTGGCATCAGCTTTAAGCATGACTTTGATGACATTCCTTTAGCCAGAATTGGGTAAGGTCCCGTAGGCAATGGATGTTATTTCAAACCACTGTCTGGAAGCAAGCGGGATAAAAGGTGGATGTAGGGCTCCATAAGGACCTGCCAAATGGGGAGAAGGGTTCATGCAGAAAGGGCAAACCATTTCTCAGGTTTTCTATTCCACTTTGTAAAGGAAAAGGGTTATACTCCAGGGACAGAAGTTAACAAAAGACACCGCTCATGTGCTGCAGTAAACAGCCTACCATTTTTCATATGGACTGAAATCAAGGCAAACAAGGTAATCTTAACTCACTCTCAATCTGACTGTTTGATTATAGTCAAAAACCTGGTGTGGTCTCTCCTGCTTCCCTTTCCTGTGACCACCCTGGGAGCTACTGTATGGAGAACCCTGACCCTTTCTCCTGATAGCTCCTCTAAGTCCATGACCATTGCAGCAGGTCCTGCTGGAAGACAGTCAAGGGGTAGGAAGGACAGAAGATGGTTACACCTGGGAAATGGGGCCTGTGGGGAAGTGGGGGAGAGTGCTGAGGCGAGCTTTCACAACATTCATAGGTCCTTTTGAAATATCTGATTTTTTTTTCTGACAATGATTATGCATTCCTTTTGTAATGTTTCATAAAAGAAGTCAATGAAGCAACTTAATCTTCTTTCTGCAATTGTTGGCATTCCTCTTCCTTCTGCTCATGCCGCCTTCTCACCAGCCATCCATCATCCAGTATGTGGCAGAAAGCAGATAGGACTGAACTGACTGCTTTTCATATTCCCCAACAGAAAGACAAGGTGAAAGTCAAAGAGAAGTGATCAACGTGAAAATAAATGTTTAACCTCACAAGTAATCAAAGCGTGCAAATTAAAACAACAATTGGTTGCCTTCAAATGGTTGCTTTCAAAGATGAAAAAGAAGGGTGATATGCGGTGCTAAGGGGGTGGTGGGAATATGGTCACTCTCATATCTGGTCTTAGAAGAGTAAGTTAGTATACCTTTTTGAGCAAGAACCTGGCAGCACTTACACCAAGTGGCAAAAAGCAGGTCACAAACCAGAGTGATCTCTTGGTTTTGTAAAAACACATACATATATATATATATATACACACACACATATATATATATATATATATATATATATATATATATATATATATATATGAGTTAAAAACAAAAAAAGACCTGAAGAATGTACAAAAATTAATAGTGGTTATGCTTGGGTTGTGGATATTTGTCTTTAACATTTGCATTTATGTTTTTCTAAGTTTTCTTAGAAACGTTATAATTTGAGAGAAAATGCATGTTAATTTCCAGTTATCAAGGGAGGGGGAGAATGTAGGGAGGAAAGGATATGGCAGGAAAAGATTTAGTTTTAGTGGAAATGAGCAGACCTCTTAAAATCAAGGTGGCTTGAGAAGAGGCTTGGTAGAGCAAACTCTGGTTCAGTGGAATTATCCAAATGTACGTACAGTTTCCTGCCCTTTTCACTTTCCCATTTAAAAAAAAAAAAAGGTCCCAACACCATCATACTCAGGTACATAAGATTAAATTATTTAAGCCTAGAATGGCATTTAGGGAAGTCTGGAGTTGTGGTTCAGAGGACAGAGCATTCCTTGGAGTGTGGCCCATACTAAGAGCCCTATACTCAGTTGAGATGGATTTATGAAGTGGGCACCAGAAAGCCCAGAAATCTGTCCTGTCATTTACACTTCTTGAAAATTGAAGCCTCACTTAGAAAATTGGAAAGGACCTTCTGCCCCACGCAAACTATAGAAACCTGAAAGTGGTCAAGAGACTGTTCTTGAATGTGATTCCCATTTCTCAGTACACTCTTTATTGAGGTATATTTAATCTAGTTTTACAGAGCTTGACTGAAGTGGGTGCATGTGATGGATGTTGACCAGAACTTGGATTAGAGAAGACTGGGGATCAAAGCCCTGGACAAGCTGCAGTGGATGCCTTGGCTTGAGGATCACCAGCGCAGAATTTGACTCCTGTTCGTCTTTGAATTTGTAGCTGGCATAATCCAGTGGGGCAGGAAGCAACTTGGGGATTCAGATATTTGCTTATTTCTCCTTCTTGGTAAGTGTCTCCCCCATTCACCAAACTGAGCCTCAGCCCTTTGCCATTTGTCATTTCTGTCAGCTGGCAGGCCACACCTGGTAGAACCATGTCCCTCCCGCATGTCAGAAGACAGAGGCAGTGTGGCATAGGGGACTATGGTCCAGGTCTGGCCATCAGACAAGAATGAGTGACCACTCTGTGAATCTGGGAGTCTTTCTTTGTAAAATAGCGATAATGATTATTCTTCTGCTTTTGCCATAACAAAAGAACCTAGGCTGAAGGGCCTAAATGATAGAAATGTATTTCTCACAGTTCCTGGAGGCTCAAAGTCCTAGATCAAGGTCTAGCAATATTTGGGTTTCTAGGAAGGACTTTTCTGGTTTGGAGACAGCCGCTCTGTCATGGCCTTTGACATGGTTTTTCCTCTGTCTCTTCTTCTGACACTATCCTATCGGATGAGGCCGCATGCACCCTTAGGACCTCATTTTACCTTAATTACCTCCCAAAGCCCTACATGCCCCAAATCACTGGGTCATATACCTTAAAAGGATAAATGTTATGGTATATGAATTGTAATGCAAAAAATAAACTCAACATGCCAAAAAATCCTACTGTAGGATAATTAAGAGGGTGAAAGGGACTTGTGTGCACATAGCACAGTGCCTGGCATAGAGCACCCCATGGATAAAATAGTCCATGTAGGGTCAGAAAATGTGAAGGTTGTAAAGCCATAAACCTGGTTCCACAAGCCTCGAATCCTGTCTCCAACATCCTCAAGGATGTTCACTGCATGGCTCTACTTCTTCCTCTGCTGTTCACAATCTGCCAATCTGCCGTCTGCATCTTTCCTCGCCTTCGGCAGGTGGGTCAGGCAGGCCCCACCACCCTGGCTACCATGTAAGCATCCCGCGAGTATGCCTCTGACCTTGTTCTCCCACAGACCTCCATGCCTTTCCTGTTCCCTGTGCTGCCGTGTGCCCAGCTCTCCCCGCCTGCCCACATCCAGAAGGCAAGGCCAGAAGGACATGACACTTCAGGCTTCAGCCCGGGCCCACTCCCATCTTTTCCAGGTGCTTTGTCTTTAACCACGGGCCTGGTTTATAGGGCAGAAAAACCAGCCTGTTTGGCTCCGGGCTTCCCTCACCACAGGCTGGCCACTGAAGCCCAGGATGAAGAAGCAAGGCTTTCCCTGGGGCTGGTTGTGAGGGCAGGTAACAGATGGGTAGCAGAATGCAGGTAGCAAGAGCTCGGGGCAGTGTGCTGTCCGGATTTGTTCTCTCCCTGCTAGCTTCTTCCTTTCCAGCTGGAGTCAAAGTTGCAGCTCACCCGGGACGGCAGCTCTTATTGGCAGGATAAAAATACCCCTCAGTTTGACTGCTGAGGCCCATGCATGGCCAACTCAGCCATTAAGGGCAAGGAGAGAGGAAAGAGTACGGAATGCTGGTGACTTCCTGCAGGGAAAGGTGGCCGTTGGAGCCTCCCGCCCACTTACACGTGGATGATGCAGGCTTCTAGTGCTCAGAGGAAGTTCCAGTCACACCGGTGCCCTCTCCATCAGCATGAAACCTCTTATTAGCATGTTTCTGACTTTTATTGTGCATCGACCCCTTTGAGAATTTATGGAAGCTCTGGACCATTTCCTCAGGAAAAGAAATCCACAGAGGTGCATTTTCACACACACAAAACTACACAGCTCAGAGGATGTACAGAACTCTTGAAGCTAAGGGGTCCATAAATCCCTGGGCCAGAATAGAGTTTATAATAGGGATGAAAGAGTTTATAACACAGCCATCAGAATAGCAATGAACTGTAGGGAGATAATGGAAGCAAGGCTGTTGATATGTCAAGTGCTGTGTCCTGAGAATGCCTTCTGTTTGTGCGGGGGACAGGGGGCCAGCAGACGATGCTCTAAATGTGGTACAGACCCTTGGGGCATCACAGGTCAGGTCCAGAAATACCAGCAAGGAGACACCTCAGACCAAAATCAATAAAAGAGCTCCCTGGGAAGTGGCTGAAAAAGGAAGCTCCAGAGAAGCCCGGCCTCTGCTGATGAGGCATTTCTAAAATCAATTGCCTCCTCCTTGGGTGGCAGAAGGGTCAGGATACAGGCCCCTGTCGGGGTTGAGGGGTTTCCTGAGCACTTTTGACCAGCTTTCTGTTAGGACAAATTATAAAAACGTTGCTCGCCCTGCTGTGAAGGCCCGTAGTTCCACCACTGAGATTGTTGCTGGGGGTATGTCCCAGAAGTGGGAAAAGGGCATCTCACTGCACCCGGACAGACTCCTGAGGTGCTACAGGAGTGTCCGGCAATAGGAGTAGAGGGGAAAAGGAAGAGATGGATCAAGAGCCTGTGGAGCCTCAGAATTCACCTGAAGTCAGTCGTGTCTTCCAGGGAAGCACTGGTTCAGTGAGTATGGTCAGATGCTTGTGAACTCTACATTTTGGCATGTTGAGAACAGTGGGGCCCTCAGTCCGTTTCCTACTAGTTAATTATCAGAAGCCAGGACATAGGTATTATATTAAGGCCATAAGTTCTATTTTCAGTACAAAGAGGTGCAATTGATTAAAGTCCAGATGAGTATCAGCAGCATCAGAGCAGGGATGCTCACAGCTGGCTAAGCAACCTGGACTGCTGCAGGGGTCTGGCTTCTAGCAGCAACCCCCTCCTTCACTGCGTCCTCATCTGTACTTTGTCCCCACGGCCACCACTCGGTTCCTCAGTACTCAGGAGGCTCCCATCACTTTATAAGTAACTGTGTATTGGTCCTGTTAATTTCAGTATCTATACTTTTGTAATAGACAAATCATTTCGTATCATCCCTAGTTCAGAATCAAAGGAGGGAGAAGCCCATAAACTCTGCTCCTCTCTGGATGAAAAGTTATTCTGCCAGGCCTACCACATGGGTTTCCTGAGCTAGTCAGTTGCAACCAGGTGGTCCTGGGGCTTACAGTGTGACTTACTAGCTAAGACCATGTCCCTCCTCGCAGAATGGGAGCCGGGACTGCTTGGCAGGGGGATATGAGTGTGACTGACAGTTTGAAGATTGCTCTCTTGTCAGTACATTCACGTGGGACTGTTCTCATGTCTCATAAGGCAGAACTGCCAATAGTACAAGACCTTAGTCTACCAAAAAGAAAACAAAATACACACACACACACACACACACAACCCTCTTTAATACACATATATTGTTTTTTTTTTCTTTTGAACAAATTAGATTGTATTGTCCAGTTTCCAAAGTCACCTTTAAAGACCAAGAGCCTTTTTAAGGCAGAAGTAGTGGTGCTCATGAAATATTCTGTCCATACTGTGCCATCTCCTAGGCCCTTGCAGTGAGGTACGTGGCTATTTCTAGCCACTGGGTTTTGGAAGGAAGAGAAGTGTGTTTTTCTTTGGATGAAGTGTAGCATAGCCAGTGTGTGATAATGCTCCATTTCTACCTTTCCTCGCTATAGTGACCAAGAGGCTCACACATTGCATGTGATCAGCTGTATGCTGGTGACGCTTCATCAGCATAAGTCCCTGGGGGTTTGTGGAGCAGAGCTCCACTGACCCACATTAGAAACAGAGCATGAGTGAGGAAGGAAGAAAACTTCCTGGTTATAAGCCACTGAGATTTCTTGGTGATTGTTGCCAAAGCATAGCCTGGCCTGTCCTGACTTACTCACAGACAGATCTGGGAGACATCACAGGAGGACACCACTGTGAATAGAGTTGATCTTCTGTGGACCTTCCAGCTGATCAGACTTCCAACTCTGCAAACCTAATGAGTCTCTCTGCTTCCCTGGTTATTTTAGGGGCTCTCCTACCACATGGAAAGTACAGCATCCCTTTGTGCAAGATCCAGATTCCAATTTCTTCTTTCTCTTCTTGAACAATCATACTTATTGAGGCTTAATTTACATATGTAAAATTCATCCTGTTTAGTGTAGGGTTCCGTGGGATTCGGGTAAGTGCATATGGTAGTGTAGCCACCAGTACAATTTGTAGGAGAGCTCCAACCAGTATCCACCCCCGCCCACCTCCAATTTCCTTGTGCCACTTTGGAGTCCAGCCCTCCCCCAACCACAGCCCTTGGCAACTACTGATCTAAGGCCCATCCTTTTAGGTTTGTGTTTTCCAAAATGGCATACAAATGGAACCCACACAGTATGTAGCCTTTAAAGCAGAAAACCTTTTTATTTTGGAGTACTTACAGATTGACAGAAAAGTTGCAAAGATAGTACAAAGTTCCTCACCCAGCTTCTGCTAATGTTAACATCTTACATAGCTAGAGTATTTTGACATAGTAGTCAAAATTAGGAAATTAACATTAGCACAATACTATCAACGAAACTATAGACTTTTTTTGGATTTCATCCATTTTCCCACTAATAGTCTTTTTCTGTTCCATGATCCCAAATGGCATTTGGTCGTCATGTCTCCTTAATTTCCTCCCATCTGTGGTGGTTTCTTGGTCTTGTTTTTCATGACCTTGACACTTGTGAGCTACACTGGTCAGGCATTTTGTAGAATGTCACTCAATTTGAGTTTGTTTGATATTTTTCTTATGACTAGACCAGGTTATGAGTTTTGGAAAGAATACTACAGAGATGAAGTTCCCTGTCCATTGCATCATATCAGGGGTACATGATAGCAACATGAATCATCCTGTTGTATGGGTCAAGAGTTGCCTCCTGTTCACAGCTAAATAATATCTCACTGGATGCATGTACCACAGTTCTTCATTCTCCAGGAGAAGGATATTTAAGTTCCTAGTTTTTGAAGATTATGAGTAAAGATGCTACTAACATTCACATAGAGGTTTTTGTGTGAACATGTATCTTTTCTTCTCTAGGGTGAATTCCTAAGCGTGGCATCGCCAGGTTGTATGGTAGGTAAGTGTGTATTTAACCTGATGTTAAACTACCAAACTTTTCCAAAGTGGTCCCACTCTGCTTTCCCCTCAACAGTGCGTAAGAGTTCTAGTTGCTCCGCATCCCAGTTTCTTGGGATGGTGGTCAGTGCTCTAGGTAATGGTTCATTTAAAAAATACCATTAAGTTTGACAAGTTTTGCAGCATGTCCTTTCTGACTAGCAGGAGAACCCACTTCATTTCTCCTGGTCTCCGCACAGAATTCTATCCAAGTTTATGGAAAAATCAGGGGCAACTTATTCATTAGACTTTCTAGTCCCTTCCTACCTAACACGTTCCTCCATTCCCGTGATACTTAGGAGCAAATTAGTAAGTGATGGGAACAGAAGATGGGGCTTGGAGAGTCTCATGGAAGGTCATGGGGAGAGAGCAGCTTCCCACGCCTACTTCAGCATCCTATCCCAAGCGAGTGAACTTCCCTGACATAGTGGCTACACTGTGTGCTGCAGTGTGCAAGTGCAGGGCTACATTTTGGGGGCATCAACTCAGTCCTTGTAATGACTCCACGAGGCAGGTGATGCTACTACAGAAGATGACGAAACAAGTGCAGAGGGTTTGTAGTTACAGCTGGTGAAGCCTCAACTTGGGAGGCCTGGCCACAGATTTCTCCAGCTTCAGAACCCAAACTCTTAACATCTGCCCTACACTACTGTCTGGAAGTGCATCTCCCAAAGATGTCAAATAATTGGCCAAAAAAAGGGGGAGAGAGACAGAGAGACAAAGAGTTGGGAGGAGAGAAAAGATAGGGGTTCTTAAAGGAATTCTGTGTCTTTGAATTCCTTTCTTCAGCTCTAAGTTTCTAGCAAGCACCTTGAAGAAAAAGAAGCATTGGCCCAGCAGTTAGACAATGTGGGTTCTAATCCCAGTTTCTCACTAAATTATAGTTTTTCTTATATGTCCCTTGGTTTACTCATCTGGATATCAGCAGGTTGGATGCAGAGAGCTCTGTGGTCCCTTCTGACTTCCTGGAAGTCAGCTATAGGAGAGCCACACATAGGCATCCTCACTGGGCTGCCTAGAACACCAAGCCTTCTAGTCCCAGGGCTGGCAGTGGCCTCAAAACAGACTTCTGGAAAACATTCCAGTTCTTTCAGCCACCTTGCTCCATACCCCCTGTGTCCTCAAGGTCATTCCGATGGAATCTGGAGTGGATCACCACCGCATTTTCCTGCCCAGGATCTATTCCCTATTCCTCTGGTATTAGCAGCACAGCCTTCCCTTGAGGAACCATCCTTTCTCCATCCCCAGTCCTTAAGAGTCAGGCTCCAGGGACAGGCACATGAGAAGCTGGGGATATAGCCTATTTCCCATCCCCACCCACCTTGATCCCAGTGGCTGACTGGAGACTGGGCATAGTATCCAAAGCAGGCTCAATTCCAAGACTTTGGCTGGAGATACTGGTGGCCATGTTTCCTCCTTATGAGAAGTCTGTTAGGATGAAGCAACACAGAGAGAATCAAAGCTGGGAGCTAAAGACAGGGCAATTGCCGAGAACACTACCTGACTTCTAGATCCAGCTGTGCCTGAAGCATGTGCCTGGACCTTTCAGTTACCTGAGCAAATAAATCCACCCTCATTTTTGTTGTTGTTGTTGTTGTTGTTTAAATAAGTCTGAGATGAATTAGATTAGGGTTCAGTAATTATGTGGGGTTTTTTGGAGATTTCTGCTTTTCTCATCCATATATGCCCCTTTCTAGGAGTTCCAGAATCTTTGTTTTTTGTTTTGTTTTTTTAATTTGAGGAGGAGGAGGAGGAGGAGGAGGAGGATAGTAGTAGTAAGTAGTCGTCGTCTTGTCTTTGTCAATTCCAAAAGCCCCATGAAAGACATGGTCTAATGCAGTGTTGGGAAACACACAGCACTGTTGCCACCACCCCTGCCCCATACTTATCACAAACATCACTCATTTATCAGAATTCTTCTCAGTGCAGAATTCTTGGCAGCCAATGCCAATCACTGGAGTTGGCTCCAAGATGAAGTCTATTTTCCAACAAAGCTGAAGAGACCTGCATCACTGCACTGTGTGTGGTGCCAATCAGAGGACTAGAGATGGTCTGAATCAAAGGATTAACTGCTATGGTCTGTCTGGAGGACACCAGTTGATCACAAAGACAGATGCACTTTGACATACTGGGAAAATCAATAGTGCCAATTGTTAGCCACTGCCAGGGTCGGCCCCTGAGGAGGGGTCTCTCTCGGCAGTGGTAGCTGAGAAAGGGAAGCATGGAGCTCAGCTGGCGGGCTCCTGGAGGCGAAGCATGGGCAGAAAGCATCTTGACCCAAATGGCCAGGCAGCCTCACATGACCCCTCGGGGGCCTCAGCCCTGGCCCCACACCCAATGGAAACACCTGCCACAGCATGATGGTGAGCCCGTCTACATGCCCACTGGCAACTCACGCCTCCTGGGGATGCCAACTTTGAGCAGACCACGTTTTCTTGGGCATAAGCCTCCAACAAAAAGTTCTAAGTTGGTGCCTTTCTAATTCTGAAGCTGACGGATGCTTTTCTCACTCTCACACAGCTCAAAATCAACCTGACATTTCTAAAATTACATTTTGAAGGCAAGGAATCTATAAAGTGCACCAAAGCCCATGCCAGCTGGGAGAAAAAGAAAAGAGGAAAGAGAAATGTTTCTGGCTCCCTCCCTTACATTTGAATATTCTTTATATATTGGCTGGGGCAGCTCGAGAAGGGAAGGGGCACTTGCAGACCACCTAAAACTGCAGGAAAGTTTTCAAGGAGCAGGTGCTTTCTGAATTTCCCTGAGGGTTCCAGTGCAATTGTGGTTCAGACTGGCCTGGAGACAAGGAATGAAAATGAGGGAGAAGTGAGACAGGGCGTGAAGGGGGTGGGGCACCTTTGTCTTCTTCACGCCAGAGACAGTCCTTCCACAGGCGGCTGGCGAGGGGCCTCGAGGTGGGCCCCCAAGGAAGCCCCCTGGCTGGGCGGCACACAGGCCGCTTAAAAGAGAATAAGCCAGCAGCTGCTTCTCCTTAAACTAGAGAGGTGGCCGAGGGGGCTTTGTGCGAGCCAGGATCAAAACACGCCTATCAAGAGGGATCAAGGGCCCGGCCAAGTGGATTGCAGATGGGAATGGGAATTGAATCTTTTTTTTTTTTTTTTTTTTTTAACAAAAATGTAAAGAAAATTCAGAGAGAAAATGCCTCCATGTGCAATTCTGTCCTTTCACTTGTAGTGAAGCCTGTTCAACTACCACAATCATCCTCTGCCCTTCACCCACAGATCAACTTTACAATGCAACTAAAATGATCCATTCAACTGAGAAGAACCCCACACCCCTTCACCCCCACCCAGTACCCAGCAAGCTAGTTCCCTGAGCCTCCAGCCTGGATGGAGCAAGTCTACCCTCCTGCTTCTCTGCTTCGTCTCCTTACTGCGGTTGCTGTGGGGCTCTCACGGCTGCGAACACACGTGACCCAGGAGGAAAAGAGTCCTTAATCTACGTTCCACACAGGGCAGCTCCATTCAGGAATCATTAATCCCGTGCTCACAAGGTGACTCCAGGGTGCTTATTACTAGGGAGACACAGAAGATTTGGGGAAACAGGAACACCCTTCTCTGGGGTTGCAACACCTTGGGCCAGAGGGAGATGCCTACGAATAGGCCTCAGGGGCCAGGCAGAGCACCAAGGGTGTGCTTATCATGAAACGGGGGGGGAAGGGCAGGCAGGAGATGAGGGGTGGTTCCTCCTAGGAAAACTGTGGGCTATGCTTGAAGGAAGTGCGATCTGAGGGGCGGGTAGGGGTGTGATGGCAGCCAGGGGTAAGGGGACAGGGGCATCCCAGGGGGAGTGTGCAGCAAATGCACAGGCCCAGCATGGAGAGGGAGGACTTCTGGTGCAGCAAGCTTTTCTGTATATGTGTGGGATGAGGCGGGGAGGCTATGTGGAGTGGAGAGGGGAGGGCCTAGGGCTGTATCCCTGTATCCTCAAAGACCATGCATGCCAGGCTGAAAAGTCACCAAATGAGATTCTTACAAATGAGACTCTGTGGACAGTTTATGCCGGCCAAGACATGAGCAGAGCTGCTCCAGCCCCCTTTCGCCTTCAGGTCTCTTCTTGAGCAGTGGAGGAGGAGGAGGAGGAGGATGCCTTCCAGTCCCCCAGGGCCATCTTGCAGAGGACAGTGGCTACTGCTGGACCAGGTCCTTCCCTGAGGGCACACTGCAGAGCCAAGAAGCCGCATTCCTGTGTTGGGGGAAGTGGCCAAAGGAGACCCTTCCAAAGCCAGAGACTGAGGCTACAAGAATGCAGCAGAGGCCAGCTGGGCAGAGAGGACCAATTCCAGGATAATCATCAACGCTACTCCTCTCAGGGCCACTGGCTCACTGACAGGGGTGTGTGGCCTCTCAGCATACCACAGGTGACACAGGGAGGGGAGGAGAGGTGCCAGCCCTGGGGACTCAACACCCGTGAAGTGTCTGAACCACTTACATGCCCACATGCAAAACTTGTTCCTATCTCTCCCCAAGCCAACAAAAGTCCATGCCTTCCTCTCCTGCACTGTATGTGGGATGCATGGGATCTCGTCAGTAGTTTCATGCAGTTGGGGTTCGTCTTTGTTCTCCTCATCTGTCCCTCTCCAGCCTCAACGTCCATGGTACCTCCCCACTGAGTCCCCATAACAGACTCTCTTAACGTGCTTTTGCATGTCAAATATCTCTGCCATTTAATTAAAAAAAAAAAAACAAAAAACAAAAACAGTTAATATCACAAAGGACTCCAGAAATACATGCTTTTGAATTCCAGCCACAGAGAAGACAAGAGGAGACACTGGCATCTGCAGATATGGCTGCTTTCCATAAGAAAGGTTCGTGCAGTGAGACCAGCCCAGCTCCTCAGCCCATGTGAGAACACATACCCCACCACACAAGGGCTGAGGGACAGTGTCTTTGGTTGGCTGGGGCTTCATCCAGAGCTCATTGGAAGGTGGCGTGGCAAGAAGGGGAAGTCTTCCTGCAGCCCCCTTACGAGGGCGACAAAGGCAGGGAGTACATGAGGAGGCATTTAAGCTTTGCTAGCCTCCCGCCGCCTCTTAGGCTACAGGACTCATTACTGCAACCTAATACAGAATAGGTTGATGATTTGAACTTGGATCTCACAGTAGCCCAGTGACACATCAGCAGCCATAATGCGGATGTCAGCAGGAGAGCGGCCAGCCGGAAAATTGCTCCTAGACAATCGTGTATTGTTAGATCCACATAGAGAATACATTCAAACCCTTTATACCAAATAAGAGTAAATAATTATACCAATATAAACAGGGCCTCTGACCCTTTCATTTTATTAAAATGGCACGTAAATATGAAAACAGCATACTGATCACTTCATACATCTGCGTGTCCCCAGGTGTGTGGCCGAGGAGTGGCAATCACGAGGGCTCCCTCCGAGAGGCTGCAGAATCATGCATTGAGCAATTCATGTTCTTTATCGGTTTTCCCAACAGCATCAGGATTTGACAGTGGGTCGAGGTCAGCAAAGAGGCTGAACCAGGCAGTCAGGTCCGAGGAGGCAGCCTTGGCAGGTTCTGGGGAGAGAACAGGCAACATGAATACACGTACCTTCCAAAGGCCCACCTCTGCCATGCTGCATACAGGTGGGTCCAGGCTCGTCTGGAAAAGGGAGGATACTACTCAGTCAGACGAATCCTATTACACTCTGTCTCTAAAACTAGCTAGGGGATTCCACATCTCCCTGTTGGCTATCGGAGAAACATTTCTAAACCATGGCCTGAAGCTCAGTGAAGAACAAGCCCAGTGTTAATCCACACCTGCACCCCCATCCCAGCGGATGGCACAGCCCAACAAGTTGCCTAAAACCTCAGATGGTGCTGCTTCAACGCAAGTAGGAAATATCACTGTGATTTCAGAAATCGAATGAATGGCTGAGGATGCATGGTGCCTTCCAGTGTCCACTGGAGGAATCTTTTCGAATCTGCTGGGTCAAGGGAAGTATGATGGTCACTCTTTTCAGGCTTTAGGGCATCAGGCTGAGAGGAGGGTTTCTCCTTTCTCAGGGTCACTGCCCTCATCCACCATCTCCTGTTAGAGGGAGGAGGCCTTTAACATGCCTCCCTTCCTCCCCCCTCACACCTCTCCCACTTCACCATCTATGGATGCTCCCTTCAGCTGTTCTTTAACTGAACCACCCGCCCTAACTTCCCGAATGCCACAATTACAGAGCCAAATTATTTTCCAGATGAGGAGAGTATTTTCAAAAGAGTGCCTCATGCAAGTGATTTCTACACAAGTTGGGGCCTCTTTATATAAATCATTCCACATGAGGATCGAAGTTCATTGGCTTGGACGACCCAGGCTTTTTTCCCCTTCCCCAACAGGTGGGAGTATCAAAAGCACGAAGAAAACGTCTGACAGGTTATCCTCCTAGCTGAGAGCAACAAGGAATGTGCTTGCCATCTGGCTGAAAGAGTCTCGGAAAATACTGGTGGGACAGGCTGCTACAAGGTTATGCCAAAGGAACAGGACAGTGGTTATGGGCTTATCCTACAGCAACAAGGCCTTTGGTCTTTTCACGAAAATGGCACTGAAATGTTAAGATAAGGTGCCAATCATGGTATAGTTCTGATTCCTGTCTTTTGTTTTTCCCCATAATCTCTCATAGGTATATTACTTTATCATGAGATAATCAACACATCCGTTACAGAGATAAAATGACTACAAGCAATGCTCACTGGCAAGAGGCAAGTTATTGTGTAACATTAATCGATCTCCATGTACAATCAACCTGCAGAACACTTGGCTTAGTTTGATACGATAAACTGAGACCCAAGAGATCTCAATATAGGTTGGTTGGGGAGTGGAGTGGGGAATAATTTTTAAAAAGGGAGTAACCAACTCAACGTTTAGTCATGTAGGAGTCCACACAGCAAACCGTATGGGGCAAGACTGATTTAAAGAGGATTAGCCATCTCGATTCTTGATAGGGAATATCAAGATCTCTTAAAGAGATCTCCAGCAAAAATACACTACATCACTACATCTACTTCCTCTTTTCCTCCTAACCTCCCAAAGGTGTAGGGCGGCCTCAGAGGGTAGCTGTGGCCTTGCTAGGAGGAGTCAGGTGACTGTACTTTGGTGCAGCCCTCACCTTCCCTAGACCTCTACTGCCAGAGTTTGGGAAACCAGGTGCAACTGTTTGCACTGGTTTGCACTGCAATACCTACAAGAACATCCTGGGAATGCTTCTGGATGATAAAGACACTCCCTGCAACTTCCTGTGGTTAACACGGAAAGTGGGTGATGACCAAAGGAAGAGAGAGACAGCTGCAAATACAGAGATCTTCAGTCAAGCACAGGTTCTCTTTGGGGACCTGTCTCAGAAAAGAACAGTCCCACGAGCTTGAAAGGCCCTCCTCTGACAGCTAAGTAAACCTGGCTCTTTGTTAGGTGGAGGCAATGGTAGTTTCAGTAAAAGACAGCAAACTTCACTGGCCTTTCCTACCTTGCTGGAACCATTCAACCTTGGGCAGCACACAATCACATGGGGAGAGGTTATTTGGTTCCTCCTCCTTTGGTTTAATAAGGGGAATTATTAGTTGGGACACTGGGCCAGAATAAAAGAACATAATTCCTAGGATCATGCAAAACTCTCCACCCTTGTAGCCCATGCTTTGTACCCTAGGTGCTCAAATAGAAATTAGTAAAGACAGAAAATAGTGTTAGACTAGTTGAAAGGAAGGCAATTGTCATTTCCAGGGAATAAAACACTATATTACCTTTCATTGCAGGGCTGTTGTCATTTGGACTGCTTGCCTGTGGTGCTGGCCATGGAGTAGGAGGAGGATTGACATTGTTCTCTGACCAGCCTAATATTCAAAACCAGAGGTTGTTAGGTCGAGGGAAGAACAGGCACACTGCCCTACCAGGCACTGGGCACACACACGGTCTCACCCATAGTGGCCTCCAAAGAAAGGGAAAAGGGTGACAAGACCCTTCTGCCATGTTCTTCATACCTGGGGTATATTTTATGGGACAGTAGGTATGTGTGTGTGTATATATATATATATATATATACACACACACACATACATATATATATATATATATATATATATATATATAATCATACCTAACTCATAAGTATGGAAAATTAGGGAAAAAATTGGATTTTGAAAAAAAAATTGTGAAATTGTTAACGTTGAAACATTTTTTTTTTTTTAGCTCTATGCCCATTTTTCTTCTTAAGTAACATCATTTCATGGTCACACCAAAGATTATCCATAGCATTCCAAGGAAATCAAGTGCCTTGTTTTTCTGTCATAAATGGAGAAAGCTTAAAAAAAAAAAAGTGAACAATAGTAAATATAGTGATATAACTAATAAACTGTGGGTCTTCTCCACTTCATTATGATCCAGCTGATTTATTTTGTATCCAGCTAATCTGAGAAGTTTAGTTAATACAGATAAATAAATGGTAGTCTAGTCCAAGTTTATGAGGGGAAAGAAAGCCCCCTCCCCCAACTTGCTGCCATGGCCTTACAATGGCACTTGGCTTGTGTAACCCAACATTCTGTAATGCCCCCTGTGCTCTTCCTGCTTCTAATGTGAACTTAACATCCGGCAGTCCTGCTTGGGGAGAGGCACACCTAGTGTCCCTAGATGTTTTGGCATGGCTAGATGTTTTGGCATGGCTCACATTTAATTTAGAACTTTACCATATACTCCTTTGCACATCTGCTTTAATTCTTGGTATGTTTAAGTCCTGTCTTCTTAGTGAGAGAAGAAATTCCTTCTTCAATGTGCTCCAAAATACCTAATGCAGCATAGGAAGGTGTTTGTGGACTAAGTCCATTCTTGATTCTCACCATGAAACACAGACCATCAGATGATGTATCACTGTCGGGTCCATCATTGTTAAAATTGTATCCTTTTACTGGGATGCTCTGCTTACAGTGTTTTCTCTAGAAAAGGTTTTGTCTCCTATAAGGCCCTCATAAGACAACATGTTTGGATGGCACAGTTCAGCTGGGGCAGTGAAACCAATTTCTGGAGCAAGAAAAGTCAATGCGTATATGCCACAAAAATGATAGCATTTAATGCTGCTCATTTCCCCTGCCACTAGTCTAAGATGTGTAATAGGAGATGTCATTAGCAACTCTTACTCTGTTTATTAGTTTGCATTTTTGTGTCACCTCCTAGAGTTGTGAGCCTCTTGGAGATAGGACCATGTATTAATCATCTTTACATCCTGTACTGTGCTGCCTGGCACACAATGGCTGTTGAATTAGGATAAACTATTAGAGAATAGTCTTAAACCATAAGAAGTACACTTATAAAGCATTATTTTCAGATACAGCAAAGCAATGCTTGGCATAGTAGATGCTATAATACTCACTGGCTGAATTATTTCATTTTAGGCAAGTGGCATACAGACTTCTCCGAGAAGACTAACCAATGACAAATGAAACAGGAGGCCTTTGACCTATTTATTGGTTCTAAAACAATGCAAACATATAGAGGGTTTTTAAAAGTATTATTATTCATTGGAAAGGTACTTGAATATGTAGTTAACATAATTCATAAGCCACCAAAAGCACCAGATTTTGAGGGAGCTTTCTAGGATAATGGAAATGTTCTAACACTGGACTATAGTGTTAATTGCACAATATAAATTTACCAGAAATCCTTGAACCATTCTTTTACAATGGCTGGTTTTTATGGTATGTAAATTACAGTTCAGAAAAAGCAGTTTTAAAAAACGACCAGTATTCAGTGTAATCCAGGAGTAACACAACCTCCCTAGTTCCTAGATAACTGGCCCATGAGCATTCCTTTTAAACGCAAATCACATAAAACAGTGGCAAATGTGGAAAGTTAAAATCGTGATTCCATAAGTATACCAAATAAAGCTGAAAGAGGTAGAATGTAACTGGGTGACTTTTACCCTTTTCCCCTACAATCCTCTCCCCAACACCAAATGTACTCAAGACCCACCTGTGCTCAGCAGAGCCCACGGACCCTTCCCAGCACCCCCAGCAAGCCTGGCCTTAACCTCTTAGAGTAGCGGTTCTCAAAGTGTGGTGCCCACACCAGCAGCATGGGTATCACCTGTAAGCTGGCTAGAAATGCAAGTTCCCAGGGCCAACACTGACCCAGTGAATCAGAATCCCTAGGGGTAGAGCCCAGGAAACTGTTTTAACAACTCCCCAGTGATTCTAAGTGCAAGTTTGGGAAGCACTGTTATAGGCGGTCTCCAAGGAGGCTGCACAAGGGTCACTGTCTCCATCAGGATCAGGTCATCTTGGTTGAGGCCAGAGTCAGACAAAGGCAGAGGCTCTCCTAGGAAACAGAGGGGTCTGTCTCAGAACCCTACTTCCTCAGGTCCTGCAGCTTTAAGCTCTTCAGTTCTGTCAAGCTCTCTGAGTTCAAGGAGATCCACACATTCAGAGAGAACCTGAACCGACCCAGAGCAAAGCCAAATCAGAGGTAACAGAAGTCAACCCTCCCTGGTCTCTATATGCTATTCGATACAGTGGGAACTCAATGAGATAATTTTTCGCATTTCAAAAATATGCACAAAAGTCATTTTTTTTAAATGGCTGCAGAGAACACTCGAAAAGCGAGGCAGGTTGGAAGCATTGTATTTTTTTTAGAGTATAAAATGGAACACATTCCTAAAGGAGGCAGAAATAAATCTACATGTCAAAACCGAGCTCCCCTCACTTTATGTAATGGGCATGTTCCCGAAAAGTTATAAATAAATAAAATGTCTGTATATCAAATCATATTTTAAAAGTACCAGAAATATAAATCATTTTTCAAGCCTATTGGATTATAATGGCATATTCCTTTATAAAGACAATACATGTCTGTTAATTGGATTCATTTGTAACTGTGGGTTTTGGAATATTGCTCACCTAAACACTCATGATCATACAGGCAACATCTAGAATCTATGGATTTGGGGGCTTCTCTGGAGCAGAGGAAACGAAGGACGAGGAGTCTGATGACATCCCCTCATTGGAGTCTAAGATGATGGGGACAACATACCTCAGAGTTTTCACAAAGACACAGGCTCTCCCTATTCTCTTGTCCCACAGTGTGGAGCAGAAGCAACAGCCAGTCTGCCAAGTCATATTGTTCCCTCAGAACAGCTATTAAGCAGAAGTCTAACACACTTATGTGCACGAGGGGGAGAAAATAGTATGGCTGGGACACTGGCTAAAACAGAAAGAAAAGAAAATATAAACTCAGCTGCAATGTCACCCTCACTCATATCACTTTGGGAATTATTCAGGGGAGGGGTGCAATGAGGGTAATTATGGATCGAATGCCAAGCCAGATTTCAAAGGTCTTGGCTTCTGTCAGGAAAAAAAAAATGCTATTTAAAGAGAACTTCGTGTAGCTAATATTCCTGTAATTGCCATCAACTCTTCTCTAGTTGGTGTTAGCTAGCTGAGGCGTTTTTAACACGAAGGTGTGGCTAGAAAGATGTCTCCCCATGTCAGAGTAATTGTGTCAGGAGAGGGTGGTGAAGGGTGGGGGCCGCAGAGCAAGAGCTGAGAGCTCTGTGAGCAAAATGATTATCCTAGCTCACAGTGCCTTTGATATGTCAACTGTGCTCCCCATTTGCAGGAAACACATATGAAATTTTATTGGAGCAATCCTGCCCCCTTTACTTACATAAGGGAAAATATAAATCAGCCAGAAATAACACTGGCCAGCTAGAGCAGCAAGTGAAGCCAAAATAACACCATCCAGAGGAGCACTTTACCATGAATGTAATGTCACTAGCTGGGAGAGCAAAAGCCCAGGCTGGGTTGATGATCATAGCGTGGGGGGCTCTGGGGTGGGGTTGGCAGGGAAAGGGAAAGTGGGAACACCACAGCCATGGTGGCCAAGCACCACCCAGCCATCCATATTTCCCGTACTGAGCCCCAGTTTCCATCTCTGCAAAGGGTGGGTAAAAATTCCTGCCTCGTAGGTGGTGGTTGTTGAATAAGACAGGATCTTGTAGGTGAAACGAGAGAGTAGAGAGGCTAGAGAGCAGGCCATCAACAAATCTAAGCTGAATCTGAATTTTAGTCCAGCTCAGCAAGCACGAGGAACAACCCCTGAGATTAGCTGAGGGTTGTTTTCTTTTAATCTAGTGATTCAATGTCTGCTGCTCTCTCCCTCCCTTCTTGTCATCCCTCCATCCACCCAGTCTTTTTTGAACATCTACTGTATTCCAGGCACTCAGCCATGTTCTGGAAATATGATGGTGAGCAACACAAACATGGGCCCTGCCCATGACAACCAAAAGCAAGAGACAGAAAATTAGACCAATCTTACAATGATGTGAGAGAATGGGAATGAGTGAGTATACCGGGTGCAAAGGGAATGGAGGCAGAAACATCTAACCTGGACTGCTGGGAGGAAGAGGAAGTCATGGAAGGCTCTGTGTATGAAATGACATTGAAGCTGAGAACCAGAAGGATGAGAACTTAACCAGGGAAAGCAAGCATCATGGGTGTGTAGGTGGGTGACGTGCTCTAAGGAGGAGCGAGAATGCGTACCAGAGCCCAGTGGTGGGTAGAGCCAGGCTCACTCAAGTTCGATATGGCTGGAGTCCAGCTTACTGACATAATACATGTTTCTCCAACAAAACAATGTTGTTAAGTCGTGCTAAGTAAAGGTGTGGGAAGTGCAGGCAGCAGTGGGACTGGGGTCAGGTCCTAAAGGACCTTGTAAGCCAACCTGAGGAGTTGAGAAATTATATAAATGATGGATATAAAACTCCAACAACTTGGCAAGTCACAAGACCTGTGTGGGAATCCATGATTTCCTCATATACTAAATGGGGGTGGAATAGATGGTCATCAAGGCCCCTTCCATGGACTAAAGGAGGCACTTAAATTCTGCACATATCCAAGACCTACAGATGCTCCTCAACAAGCTGCTTCTTTGATGGAACAAAAATTCCACTGGCTCGTGTTGAAACTACCCACACTGCATTAAACTCTAACTGCACACCACAGTCTTCTCCTTCATATCCTTTGAGCCCCAGAAATACGTTATCTGGAACCAGGCTAAGCCAGGAATGGCAAGAGGCGAGCTCAGTTTGAGGAAAGGTGAATTTGAGATAATGCAAAGCTTGGCATTACATTAGCCTTAAATAGAAACCCACCCAGATGGCAATAGCACCTAGGCATGGTATAAAACAAAAGACTATCCAGAAGGAACACAGGGCTGTACATTTGTGAGAATGTGGAACAAAACTCCTAACTTTGGTTTGCAGAATCCTAAATCACAAGATGTCCTGGTGCATTTATTTTGAGCAGATGGTAGTCTTTTCAGTATCAGTGTCTATTTCTAAATTAAATTTGGGATATTGGTGGAGAATGGAGAAGAATGTCAAATGAGGCTTATCAGCCTCACCTCATCTCTACCTTGGGCAACCCCCTCTGGCTAGCTCTCTTTCTACTCCCTTTAAGAGGCCTTAGGAAGGCACTATTTTCTCCTCCCTGTATGACACAAGAAATTCCAGCCCCTATTATGCTGGTAACTTCAGAAACTCTTAGAAATCCTACATAAAATTAACTCCTCTTTCAAATGTTCAGCCCAACTTAATCCTAAATGTAAGTTGCTTTGTTTGGCTCTCCCAGAGCATGAAGTTGAAGTGGGGAGCAGAGGAAAATGCAATTGTTATCTTACTAAATCCCCCTTCCTTTCTGCTCCCCAGAGCACAGGGGAATGGATGAGGAAAGAGGACAAAGAAAGGAGGGAAGGAGGCAGAGGAAGATGGGGAGATAAGGAGGGGAGAAGACAGAAGAGGTGAAGGAGAAGGGAGGAGGGGAGAGTGGGAGGGAAATGCAGCCTGTGGAAGAGCAGAGTTTGCTGCTCCCCAAGCCTGGAGCATTCCCAAAGTTCTCATGACACTCTGATCCTGAGGATGCAGCCCCACTTGGACCTCACAGAGAACCAGGACAGCGGTGGTTGAGACTAGCAGGAATGCGCTTCAGGGAAGATGTGGGTGGCTGCTAGCACAGGCGAAGATTCTATAGACAATCTCGATTTCAAATATTCTATTCTGGAACATCATCTGATTTTTGTGGTTGACAGGGACCCTGCCTCTCCACATGCACATTCCTCCTTCATGGCAACCACCTGTCCTTGGTCTGTGTGTGTGTCCAGGAAACCCAGGGCCAGGCTAATCATATTATAAGTCCTGCTCCTCTGGAAGCATCCACAGAGAGGCCTGAAGGAACCCACTGAGGAGTCACATTTGCCATCAAAGACTTGGTACAGAGAGGCAGCCAGAAGGGAAAGGTGAAAGGCATAGACTCTGGAGGCAGATGGCTCAGGTTCACTATCTCTCTCTCTCCTATCAGATGTATGATCTCAGGCAAATTACGTAGCTGCTCTGTTCCTCAGTTTCCTGGGCTCTATGATGGAGATGATGATAGTACCTGACTAGGAAGGGTGTGGTGAGGATTAGGTTACGTCAACTCTCTACCACTGCTTCTTTCACTAAGCCAACATGCCAATGGGCCTTTGTACTCCATGTTGTGTTTGACTTTTCAGTTGTTTATTTAAATTTGGGTTTTGAGATGATCTGGATAATCAGGGGAAGCAGTTCCAATATGAGGTGTCAGAAGTTTAACAGTTACTTAGATGCTTTTGCAATTCATGTATGTAGATGCATTTTCTAGAACGATAGACGTAATAAAAAAAAAATCTACAGCCAATATTCATCTTTTCCTCTTTTTTAGGGTGAAAGTCCTCATAAAAGCATAGACTGTGGTTGTAACTGGATTACATGATCAATCATCAAAGCAGGGGGGCTGTTCTTTATTTGTACCACATCTGTTTTGAAGGTTCCTTGAATTCAGGCAGCACCAGTGGTGGAATTCTGGGAGTACCTGCTGGGAGTCCATAGGTGTGAGAGAGGCTGAATGAGCTTCCTCTTTCAAACACTTAGGTGCCACTTTTTTTTTTTTTTCCTGTCATTTTAAGTTCCGTAGACATTCAATTGATGGCTGTTGGCATGCAAAGGCAACAGGATAACTCAGAGGTTACAAAACAACTCCTTTAACATTGGTCTTCATAGAACACCAGCAGAGAAAAGGAAACTTTTAGCAGCCAGGATGATCCCTTTAAATGGTAAATCAGATCATACCCATTGTTTGTCCAAGATGCTGTGATGGTTCCCAATTTCACTTGGGCTAAAAAAAAAAAAAAAAGGCCCAGGTTGTTCCAAAGGCTAGACGCCCTGTGTGGCCTAGCTTCTGCCTCTCTGCCTCACTCAGACCACAGTGCTCTTTCTGCAGACCCTTGGGCATGCCAGGGGTGTCCTCCCTTGGGCAATGGCACATGGGTTCCCTCTGTCTGCATCTCCACATAGCCGATTGTCTCATCTCCTGCAAATCTGCTCAGATCTCATCTTAATAAGAATCCTATTTAGTTCTACAGCCTGACCTACCCAGCTCTCCACCTAACAGTCTCTATCCCCTGGTTCTAGCTTTCCTTTTCCTCATCATACCAATCACTTTATAACCCACTATGTGATTTTTCTTTATTATGTTTATTGTTCATTACCTCTTCTTCATTAGAATGTTAGTTCCAGGAAGGCAGAAGCCTTGTCTGTTTGTTTTCAGATGAATCCCCAGTGCCTGGCACCCAGAAGGACCCAATCAATCTCTGTTGAATGAGAAACTTGCTAAGAAGCTAGTAGGGTGGCAACATAAAGTTAGATTTTGCTTGCTTGAGAAATAATGGCCTGCCTTGGTAGTAGTACCTCTCTACCAGTATAAGAAGACCTCTTTCCAAAATGAGCTTGCATTTTTCACTGTCAGAACACCTCCCTCCCTTTTTTTTAATTTAATTTTTTGAGAGAAACAGAGACAGTGTGAGTGGGGGAATGGCAGAGAGAGGGAGAGAGACACTCCCAAGCAAGCTCCACGCTGCCAGGGCAGAGTCCAACACGGGCCTCGATCCCACAAAACTGTGAGATCATGACCCGAGACAAAACCAAGAGTCAGACACTCAAATGACTGAGCCACGCAGGTACCCCAGAACACCTCCCTTCTTAGACCCAAGTGTGCTTTTGTGCTGTTTCCTTGGACTTGGGACAAGGCTAAAGTGCCAAGTCCATGGCCACTGCTCTGGTCGTAGCTGTCAGGCATAGTTCCAGGGCTGTGGCCCCTGAGCTGAGATCTTCTCACCCTGCCTGCTCAGGAAAAAGGCATGGAGCTCTGACTTCTCAGCTGTCATTGGGGGCCACTCACAAGTGAATGACACTCAGCCACCCCAGCTAAGTGAGAGCACTGCCACCACCATTCCTCTGGGCATCAGGGGCCCTAGTGTCTCCACAGCTGGGGGCCCGAATCGGGTTCATCCTGCAGCACAGCTGGAGAGTCTCCAGCAGCCCCAAGATCTGAGAGGTAGATCCTGGCTCTGGGCTTCCAGCTCTCCCACAGCTTGTTGGCACCTCCCCCGCAGGTGGGTGGGGGTGAAACTCAAGTCACTGGTGCTCATCTGGGGCTCCAGCAAAAGAGATGGCAAAACCCAGAGGTGAAACTCAGGGTGTAGTATTTTTGGATTCCATGTATCTCTCCTATCTCTAACTCTGTTACTGAAAAAAAAAAAAAAAAAAAAAAAAAAATGACATGGCTACAAAATGAGACTCCCAGAAGAAGATAAAAGGAATCATGTATTTCATTAAAAAAAAAAAAAAAAAGAGGGAACACCTTTTTTTTGGTCTTGCCCACCAACTCTTGCTGTGTCCATGATCTCATCTCCAAAGACCTGAGGTTTTTTTTTAATAGCTCATAATTACTTAATCATTCCAGTTCTGCTGTTTGTTCTCAGCTTTAAGTGCCAGATAAACACTTATTAAGGAGATAGCCTAAATTCATGGAAAAACCAAAACAACTTGAGAACTTCTTAATAGTGATTCCTGTCTTACAATTAAAGCGACATGAAAGGAGGAAAACGGTGTCGAAATACTAGAAAATAGTCTCCTTCCCAAGGTGTGTTTAGAAACTCAAACTTTAAAATTTCAATTTCAATCTGATTTTAATTTTGCCCTCTAAATCAATGCGCTCCTCATGCTGGCAGTTCTCAACCAGTGTGCTGCCCTGCACCCTGACCAATGTTGCCAGCCACAGATGATCAGTGTGGAAACTGTATTTCGTCTGTGGCCAAGGCACATGGGGCTGCTGAGCCCCATGGTTTAGGCAGAACAGGAGCAGCTGAACTGACAGCATCCTCAGCGTTGTAGTGAGCCAGGATGGAAAGACAGCAAGAAGAAAGATAAAATTCAATGTGCAAAGAGTTAAGAAGCCCAGCGTGGTGTTACTTGGCACCTAGAAAGACGATATGTCTACAGAAACGTGGAGAACTGGCTAGGCAGAATTGGCCAAAGCCAATAGGGTCACAACTGGGAAGATTCTCTAAGGTATGCCCTGCAAAAATCTAAAATGAGAGCAAGACTGTAAGATTGAGAGCCACCTCTCTAACCTGTCATTAAAAGGAAACATGAACATGACGAGAAAATTATGAAAAGCAAGAAAATTATGAGAAGCAACCTATCTTAAAGCTGGGATAGGACTCTGAGATTTCAACTAAAAAGACACTGGATATAAAATAAAACCCAGAAAACATGAAAAAAAGACAAAGAAGGTAGAAAGAGGCTTTTGGATTAAAAATAAAGAACGAGCACACAACAACAAACCCTGTTTCAATCCCCGTGGTACATACCTTGGAGTGAGGCCTGTAAGTCTTTCATGTTTTGGTCTAAAAGCTGTGAAGGAAGGAATCCTGAGCCTGCCTGGGGTCTGGGGTCTGGCTCTCCGGCGGCCACAGTGGGCACTGGCTCCTTCGGCCGGCCGTCTCCAAACACGGCAGCCCACTCTTTGCTGAACTCACCCTCGTCCAGGGAGGAAGCATTGAAGATCTCACTCAACAGAAGCAGGTCATCTTTGTCAGCACCCTCGGGTTCTAGGGTCCCCGCCACTGGGCCCAGGCAAGCTGATCAAAGTAACAGAGCACAAAACACATCACCACCCAGCACCCAAGCTTTTGGGAGCAAATGCAGGGGGTGGCTGGGATGGAGCACACTGGGTGATGGCTACATTTAAGAAAACGTTTATCAAACCATAAATGATTCTCATCATAGTCTCTCTTAAATTCCAGAATTCAATTTCTAGTCCCACTGTCACTCATACCCCTTCCTCCAAAGCAAGTCCAGTTTCTGGGCATCAGTAGGATTTCCATTAAAAACTCTAGGGTTTTGTTCTTTTCTTAATATAAAAGCAAATTTACCACCAAAACATTTCTCAGACAGGAAACAAAGCCAGGATTGAAGGCATGTGGGAGGTTTTCATTCCTTGTTTGTATAGCTTCCCAAATCTTTTCACACAACAAGCCCTAAAGCCACAGCCACCACACCCTGCAGGAATCTGCCCTGTCAACCACAATGGGGAGAGGACACTTGCCACGCCTTGGGCAGGAACAGAGGATGTCAGGAAGTCCAACAATGACCAAGGAAGGCCTCTTGCTTCCTTTCTCCTTTGCTGCAACTAAATGCAACCCACCTCGAGGCTTTGCCAGAGCAGAGGAAAGGTGGGTCTGGTTTGCCTGAGGGCAGCAGTGAAAGAATGACAGGAAAACGGCAAATTATGGAACCACCTAGAGAAGGCCAGAGACACAGTCCCTGGAGGGTTGGAATGAGAACCAGACCAGAGGGTAAGCCCCGAGGCCATTCTTTACTTGCTGTGTGACTATAGCAAGACCCTTAGCTCTTCTGGGTCTCTTGTTTTTTTCACCTGTAAAATGATAATATTAATAATGCCCACCTCAAAGCATTATCAGGAAGATGAAAGGAAATACACCTTTAAATCTCATTGCTTGTCCACAAGGGAGACTTTAAAGAAGAGATTCATTCTCATAATATGAACACTGACAAAACACTTAACAGGGAATACAAATAGAACGGGGGCATCACTAGCCAGAAATCCTACAAGACCTTTCACTGGGTTTTCTACATATTTTGAACACCAAAGACTGATGGTCTTACTAACTGTGGCTTTGCTGTGGTACCTAGTTGCCACATGGGAACTGCAAACGTAAGTCACGAAGAGAAGGAATAATCGTGATTTGTATTTTCTGAGCTATACTGCAATTCTGATACTGTCATATTAAGTGAGATTAACAGGTTTTCCTCAAATATATGAGACAATTAGCAAGTGAAGGCTTTTAAAAAAAATACATAAAGCTTATCTGTCAGCTTCACTGGATCTACTTTCAACCACACTTTATATAAAGGTGTTCTGACTGAGAGGACTTCTGATGTGCTAAGCAGACTGGCTATAAATCCAGGAAGGGAGGAGACCAGTCACTCTCTTATCACTGTGGTTTAAAAATAGTAGCAAATATGGCTTTAATTGGACAACTGTCTAAGTATTCTTATTGTTTGTGTTATCACAGAAATTTTCACTGGACGTAGCTTGTAGGTGGGTGGTGAGAAGACAAGGGAAATGGCATTTTAGTAAATAGGCTTGCGAGACAGTTCTTTAGAAGGAGGGTGGGCAGCCAGGACCCATCTTGACCTGTGCATGGTGGAAAGGCAGGTGGGTAGGGTAGGACAGCCCATATTTGTGAATGCAGGCAGAAAGCATGGCTGTGTCCATTAACATACACCTCGCTAGGCATCCTCCCTCCTTTTGGCTCTCAATCTCGCTTGATGTCAACTCTTTTTACATATATTAACTTCACAAATCTCCATACATTCTACTTTCATTTGGGACTGGAATATCCAAACCTTTTCTCCTGGTTTACTTTCTGGCCTGACTGAAACCAGCTGATTGCGGAACCAAACCTGTTTTACTGGAACCAATTCAAATCAAAGAGTAGTCAGGGTTTGACTTAGCAGAGGGCTGTAAAGTGACTTCAGGAAGAATATGCATAACTTCCAGTGCTTATCTAGTCATCCCTTCCTCTAGAGTCTACTCTTTGATTTGAATTAACATCATCAATTTATTTGAATTGACATTTGATTTGACATCATCAAGATGTCAACCCAGGGAAGATCATGACTAACATTAGCAGCAATAAATAATAAATGTTAAGCCTTCCAAAAAATAACCAGAAACTGGGGAAGCTTCATCTTTAACTTTTTAGGTTGTGTGTGACAGTTTTGAGTGGACTTCTGTGGGTTTTGTTAACTTGGCATCCCTTCCCTCTTCCTCTTCAGTTTTCCCTTTCTGGAAACACCTTCTCCACGAGATCCTGGTGAATACTACATAAAGTGCCTCACCACCCCTCATCTAGACTGGCCAGAGTCCTTCATTTCTCAGGCCATGGAGACTGGCTCAGGGATGAGCACATGCCAGAGGCTTCGCTGAGTTTGGTATATGGAAGGGGGAAGTAGGAGGGTGTCTTTCTCAGACTCCAGGTTCTAAAGATACAGTTTTGAGGCTCCCAGGAATGAGAGAGCCTGACATAGAACAACACAGTATCAAGAGTTGGAAACAGAATATTGACAACACTGTCTAAGCTCTGCATCCAGCCCCATTTGAGGCCAGTCCACCACTGTATGTCCTCAGTTACATGGACCAATACCCAATATGTTCTTTTCTTTTTAATTTTAAAGTTAAACTACTTAGAGAAGGGTTTCTATTACTTCCAACCAAAAGATTCCTCACCAATATTGTATCCTGTCAAATTCAACTTCACTGACAATAATGAGAAAAGGACCCATGGCAAGGATGATACTGTCTAGAGCTATTTCTTAACAGAAATTTACTTGGAGATCTACCACTGAATTTGGGCTATTAGTGTCCTGGTTATTTAACAGTTAAAGTGGGCTGCACAGTGGACATTTCTCTAAGAGAACTTATTACTTCACTAAAAGCAATGAAACTGGCACTGACTTGAACCAGAAAACAGGGAAACCCAATTACTGCCCTGATAATTAAGATGCTTGAAATTACTATACATAACTCATAAGAAAAACTTAATTACAAGTAGAAAAGGACAGGCTTAGGTCTGTAACCAGACAAGTCAAGACTTGAAAAATAACACTAGCTCTTAAGAATCAAGCTATCATTTTCCTTGGAAATAATTCAGCTCAACTGTGAGAAAATGGGGACACACACAGAGAGATGACAAGCGCTTTGAGAGAAACCCTGGTAAGGGCTGTACAGGCAGAGTCAGGGCTTCCACCCAGGTAGCTGAGCAAGCATCATGCCTGGGTCATGGCACCCATCCTGCTTTTGTCTTCAAGGGTGAACCAAAGTTCTGGAGCTCTCAAGTGTCAACCCACAGATACAGATACCATTCCAAGTCCCCGTCATGCTCTTGTAGGCTCCCGAGTCTCCATGTTCACTCTCACATCCAATAACCCAATCCCAGATGTTACTATAAAAATAGAAGCCAATAGACACAATGAACTCTAGTTCTCACCTCTAGGCCTTCAGCTCTATAATCCTTTATTAATTCCCTCCTTTTTTTTTTAAACGTTTATTTTTGAGAGAGAGAGAGAAAGAGAGAGACACAGAATCCCAAGCAGGCTCTTGGCTCTGAGCTGTCAGCACAGAGCCTGACACGGGGCTCAAACTCATGAATGGTGAAATCATGACCTGAGCTGAAGTGAACGCTTAACTGACTGAGCCACCCAGACGCCCCTCCCTCTTCTTTTTTTTTTTTTTTTTTAACGTTTATTTATTTTTGGGACAGAGAGAGACAGAGCATGAACGGGGGAGGGGCAGAGAGAGAAGGAGACACAGAATCGGAAACAGGCTCCAGGCTCTGAGCCATCAGCCCAGAGCCCGACGCGGGGCTCGAACTCACGGACCGCGAGATCGTGACCTGGCTGAAGTTGGACGCTTAACCTATTGCACCACCCAGGCGCCCCTCCCTCTTCCTTTTTAACATCAGCCCTAGGTACACTCTCCCCTCCTGCTGGGAGCCTGCTCTGCCCCCACTGGGATTCAGCTCCAGCATCTCTCTTCTTTCTCTCTCCAAGGCTTCCTCTCCTAACCTCAGAAGACGTGTGCACATCCCAGCAACAGCCAATCTTGCGACTGCTGTCTCCTTGGGCACCCCATCCCATCCCCAATGTTGCTGCTCTGGTTTCTTCTCCCTTCTACAGCCACACACTGTACTTTGTCACTGCTCTTATTTCTGCTACCTGTAGTCAAGTTCCTGCCCCTGCTCCAAACAGCAGTGGCCCTCCTGAAGGTTACCAGTGAGATCTTCATGGCCGATTCAAATCCCTTTCTCTGGCCTCACCCTCTGTGGGACTTTGTCCTGTTGTACAAGCTGGAAATGCTGTCATCTCCTGGGTCTCCATGAAGTGGCTCTCTCAGATGTCCTCCTATCTCCTCAACAATACTATCCCTGCTGCCTCTTCCTATTCTGGTTGCCCTACAGTTTCTTCCTGAGCCATATCTGCCTTCCCTACATTATCTACAGAACATCTTATCTATTCTCATGGTTTCAATCTCACCTGGGAAGACTTTCAAATCTCCATCTACAATTCCAAGTTTTCTTGAACTCTGATGACAAACTCCTGACTCAAGGGTCCCTTGGGGTTTACTACTGGCAAGCCTGCTGACACTCCATAAAAGGCACCCTCCTCGCTGTATACCTTTGTTCAGTGCAGCTGTGAGAGTTTCATTTTCTTATTTTAAAACCTTCAATGGCTCCCTCTGACTCCCGAAGAAAGGAACACTCCTTACAGTGGTATTCAGGACCTCTGCAGTCCAGCTCTAAGGCAGCCCTTCCAGCAACTCATGAGGCCTTCAGAGAAACCTATGCTTTGGCAAAACTCCCTCACATTTGCCATTCCTCAAACATGCTTTCCTGCCTTCCTGTCTGGAAACCTGTTTTCTCCCAGTGAGATGCCTAGAGAGAAGAATCATACTGAACTGAAAGGAACCTTGGAGATTATCCCCATGTAACTCACTTTACAGATGAGGAAAAAGATACCCAGGTCAGATGACCTGCTCAAGGTCATATAATTTATTAGTTACAGATTATCTGTGTGGGGACCCCTGGCTCACAGATCAAGATGTTTTCTCAGTGCAGCACACCGCTTTTCCCTCAGAGCCTGTTAATGATGTCATATATAAATGAATATTCAAGCTTTTGTAAAGTGTTGAGGGTTTCTAAGGTCAGATGGCTCCACCAGCAGCCAGGCAAAGCTCTTGGCTGTAAGCAGCATGGCAGAATGGCAGACCCACGCAGCATGTTTGCCTTGTACTGGCCAGGGGTTCAAAAATAAAATTCCTAGGCCCCTGGGAAAATATTCCCTAGGAAAACTGATTCTGAGCCAATGAGCTCTAACTGATTCTGAACTAGCGAGTTTTCAGAGTGAAAACTGACATACAGAGGAAGCTCTCTTAAGTTCAGATGGAGGGTGGGTGACAGAAAGTAGATGTGGGACACTGGTGACAGCCCACTCAGGTTATATTTTTGAAATCATACTGAGTTTCATGACCTCACCATGAATTAGGAACCCAGGAGATGGAAATGGAGCTACATAGACCAAAAATGAGAGCACAGCAAAACAAAGAGATAAATGTCACAACAGTTACCTTCATCTGTGTGTGAAACAGGAAGACTCTGCTTCTCTGTTTTTCTCCCTGGTCCCCACTCTCAGCATTATGACTAATGTAAAGGCCGCACATTTGCAATACATATGAAAAACCTCAGCAACCAACACAATCCTCACATCACCTGACAGAGAGTAAGGCGGGGGGAAGTGGGGTGGGAAACCACCGTACAAAAAGTCTAACGAGAAAAGTATTCGTCCTTATAAAAGGCTCCGGTAACAAATTGTACTTGTTTGGAATCCAAGAATACTACTTCTAAAAACTCCCTTGTGGTGAAAAAAGACACAGCTAATAATAATAATAACAGATGGGGAAAAATCCATCTCTACCCACTCTCTGGAATACACACACACCCTAAACAAAAACAAAAACAAAAACCCCAATCGTGCTAGACCCTGAGTAAGCACTCAAAAAAAGACTTCTTGATGATCCCCAGTCCTGGTCCTCCATTTTAACATTAGATCTTAACAAGCAAGTAATCTTACTGAAAAACTTGACACCCGGGGCAGGAGGAAATCTATACAGAACACTACTGACTACAGGGTGATCAAGTAAGAACAGGAGAGTGTTTGGTTTTAAAAATGCACCATTATTTTATGAAAGGACCAATGTCAGCTGTTCATCCTAGGATGCTGAGGGAGACAGGGAGAAGAAAAAGTTTATGAAAAAAGATAACAAGCTTAGTCTTTGCCACACTGCATGTGAGGAAGCAATCAGGTTCCCAGTCAGCTCTATACAGAGAACAAAAGAGATAGTCCTGAACATCTGGGGAGAAACCAGGCATGGGGCCATAAGCCTGTATTATTGTTACAGGCCAAAGGTCTGCACCCGGACTAAAGGGAGCTACTGAATAAGCTTCTTTGTCGTTCTGATGGTTGGCCAGAATTTAGAGTCACAAGTCTGAAAGTAGTAACCAAGGAAATGGCAGAAGACAAACGTTTTAGTTGCAATGTGTACAATTATAATTTTTTAAAATTTCAGTTAGTCTTGTCCTAGAGAAGGATCTTTTGGATAAGTCCAAGTAATGAGATTTAGGTGGGCTAAATTCATCTAGCTATATAGCTAGCTTTATAGCTTCATTTCCTGTTCAGTTATCTGATAGTTCTTTTTCTCAGCCAACTTTGAGGAATACAAACACTCCTGCATGTTACAACTAACTCATGAATTGAGGCTGGGATTGTCACATGTGCTCACAAGGTGATTTCAGAGCCACTTTAAAGTTATTGCAAAATGTCACTCAGTTTTTTTTCACTTAAAAATTTGTATAAACTGGCCAAGTATTGGTTTGCTATTTACATTATCTATTTAGTTGGAGAAAACACATTTCATTACGACACTGAATCGGAGTGACTTTTTGGGGCAACGGCTCCTGGAGAACTGTCTCCTTGTTGTTGTCATAAGTGGTCTGCTTTTTGATAACACTGTACCATGGCGTGGCCATTACTTGTCTAACAGAATTACCACTGGGAGTGAACTGGCCCCCAAGCAGCAGGACGCTAGAGCTTATAGCCCCCAAGTCCTATAAAGGCAGCCATCCCTGGATTAAGCTCTTTTTAGTTCTTGATTGCTTAATGTCTTGCATATTATTATCAGCGTTTTAATTCAGGATCTGGGCCTTCAGGCGGTTTTCTGAAGGGCACGCATTTTGAAGTCAACTAATTATCGTGTGTTCTTTTCTTCATTCACCACAAGTTCTGTGCACTGACAGAGTATTTCTAGACTTGTGGTCATGTTAATCTTTAAGCTGATGCTGCCCTAGGGGTTGCCAAAGCAGAAGAGTCAGATAGTGACAGAGCATGGCTCACGCCTCGAGAAGGGCTTTATGGCCTGGCAGTGATAAAGGGAAAGGAGAGATTATGTGACACTGCATTTAACTGAGACAATCTGTAAATCAACTTTTCTGCCTGAAAACAAATACACATTTTGGGAAAGAATACAGTCACCTCCCTATCATTAGAATTAAGTGAGTGCTCAGAAAAAGGGTATGAGCTGCTATTCTATGAAACAAAGACTGTTAACTGTAAACCAATGAGTTATAAAAGTTGTTTTAAATAAGGGGAAATATAACAATCTTATTCCAGTGTATCTGTGACAGGCTCTGGATGAAGCTTATGAAAGTAAGCATCTATCTCAGGTAGTAGCATTTCTGCTTTAATTCTGTGAAGAAATACATGGGTACTGGGTTAATTTTTGTTTTGCCATTACTACCAAGTTGAAAAAGTCAAAATCCAAAAGCAAGAACCCTTTTTTTGTAAGAAGGGGGGAAACACAAGAATATGGACTTCTACCTGCTTGTGTGTATGTAAAGAAATAGGGATGAGAATATGGAATAGAGAGGAGTGGCAAGCAGAAATGGGAGTCAGAATTTTCCACTGTCTACATTTTCACTGTCATTATCACGTACCGATGCGAATATACATATTCAAAACTTATGTTTATTAAAACAGTGAAATTAAATAGATAATAAAAGAGCAAATTACATGAACAAGAGGTTGGCAACAGGAGAAATACCAGTCTTCCTTTCAAAACAAGTTGAAAGATACAGCTAATTATAAATAACTTGTGAAATGTTAAGATTTGGTAAAACTACGTGGTGGGTACCTATTGTGTGTTAGATTATTGTCTTTATCTCACCTTTGCAAGCCTGCAATATTTCTCCCTCCAAAAAAGTTTGTGAGAAAAGCCCTTTATTTCATAAAAGTAATCCATCCTTATGCCAAGTGGGAAATGTTTTTATGAAAATGGAGGCCAGGTAATGGCAGTCTGCTTCAATTATTTGCTTTGTACTCTCATAACCCGAGGTGATTTCAATATTTACAAATAAGTATGATTCTGACAAAAAAACATGTGGACATTGATGAAATATTGCAAAGTGTGTTGCCTGGAATGAGAAATTGGTAAAGAAAGCAGGTTTCTTCCAAGTTTATAATCCTAAGCCCTGGAAACTTAATGTAAGAGTTCTACTTACTGCCTTTCCATTTTTGAAAAAGCTTTAATCAATGCCTTCTGTTCCCCAGACTTCCTCTCACACTTCAGGAATTAAACCCAAATCAAGCTCAAACTGAGTAGAGGAAATTGTCGGCCCTAGTTAAATGGGGTCCATAGGATCATCTTGCCCCATTTCCAGTCCTAGGAGAAACTTGTTCCATCAGGGTGGACTATGGACCAGCAGTCCAGGACAAAGGGTGCTCTAGAGTTTGTCTCAGAATCTCAGTGGAATTTTGGACTTGTGATAAATCATCAGAAGCAAACCCTTGGTGGGATGGAAAACAAAGGCTATACCAGGCTGAACAGTCAATTTCCTGGGGTCATTTAAGACTATGCTTATCTCAATCAAATCCATGCTTTTGGATTCTCTTTTTGGGAGTTATTTAGTAAATTATTTTAGGCGGTGAACTTGGGTGGGTGACCTAGCCAGGCAAGCTTTTCCTCTGCATTTAACTAAGGTTCCGTGGGGCACCTGGGTGGCTCAGTCGGTTAAGCGTCCGACTTCAGCTCAGGTCACGATCTTGCGGTCCGTGAGTTCGAGCCCCGCGTCGGGCTCTGGGCTGATGGCTCGGAGCCTGGAGCCTGCTTCCAATTCTGTGTCTCCCTCTCTCTCTGCCCCTCCCCCATTCATGCTCTGTCTCTCTCTGTCTCAAAAATAAATAAACGTTAAAAAAAAAAACAACAAAAAAAAACTAAGGTTCAGTGGAGGTGCAGCACAGTATACCACTGGGACAATGTTTCTAATGCCACTGTCTCAACTGCTTACCATCTGAAGAGTGTTCCTGTGTCAGAGGTCATGAGAGACCCTGTATATACATGATCTCCAATTCTGACAACAGCCCAGGAAGACTGTTGCTATTGGTTCCATTTTACAAATGGAGCAACTGAGGCTGAAAGTTAAAGTGTGAAGCAAATTACCTAAGGCCATACAGATAGTTTATGGCACAACCAGTACTCAAATCAAGGTCTGGTTCTGAAAGCCATGTTTTTTCTACTATAGCATACAACCTGTGACATAACTTTTAGCTTTAGTAGTCTGAGTATTATGTAATTAAGCTAAAGATGACAAATCCCACATGTACTAATTTGTACTTGGGCACATTTAAAGTCATTTATAAAGACAAATGACAGTTACTTAAAAACAATTTGCTTGGGAATGCAAAGCTATCAAAAAAATAAACATTACATTTTCCTGCATGTAAAAACAGTATTAAAAAATTAAATTATAACCCCAAAGAAATATATAAATCTTACCACCTTCCTCGGGTTTCATGCCTAATAGTTCATCTGTAGGTCCATTAAAGGAAACAAAGAAAACAAAATTATGAGTCAGTTTTGTTTTGTAAGGAGTTTGTCAAATTTATTAAAATTGAGTCATTTTCCTTAATCTAGATTACCTGAGCATGCATTATGTGTAGAGCTTTTGTCTAAGGCAGTTAAAATGCTTTTTCCATCTTCAGCTGTAAACAGAACACATGCACTTGGTTATCACGAATTTAGAATGGTGTGTGGGTTTGTATACTATTTCAGTGTAAGGTAAACACACAGCTCATCACATAGAAGCAGGGGTCCTCTGATTACATTTTCTCAAGCTGTTGGCTCTCCATGAATTCTGAGCTGACAGCCTTGAGTCTTTGCTTTGTTTGGTGGAAAACTATATGACACTGACTTCACACTTCTTTCATGGACAAATGCATGACTTAAGTAATTGACTACTGATGGTGCTGTGAACGTTAGGCATTTGGGTCTGGCTAAAATAAAAGGGCACATTACTGAGTGAAAGAAGTCAGTCTGTAACATAATTCCATACATACAACATAATTACAACTGTAGAGAATTCTGGAAAAGGCAAAACTATGAAAAGAATAAAAAGATAAGCGTTTGTGGTGAGGATGTGGAGAAGCGGGAACCCTCTTGCACTGTTGGTGGGAATGCAAACTTGTGCAGCCACTCTGGAAAACAGTGTGGAGGTTCCTCAAAAAATTAAAAATAGACCTACCCTATGACCCAGCAATAGCACTGCTAGGAATTTACCCAAGGGATACAGGAGTGCTGATGCATAGGGGCACTTGCACCCCACTGTTTATAGTGGCACTTTCAACAATAGCCAAATTAAGGAAAGAGCCTAAATGTCCACCAACTGACGAATGGAGAAAGAAGATGTGGTTTATATATACAATGGAATACTACTTGGCAATGAGAAAGAATGAAATCTGGCCATTTGTAGCAATGTGGATGGAACTGGAGAGTATTATGCTAAGTGAAATAAGTCAGGCAGAGAAAGACGGATACCATATGTTTTCACCTATGTGGATCCTATGTGGATCCTATATATGTGTGTGTGTGTGTGTGTGTGTGTGTGTGTGTGTGTGTGTGTTTATATAAAAGATAAGTGTTTGGGGGAGGGGAGAGATGAACAAGGTGCAGACACAGGGGAGATTTAGGATAGTGAAACTATTCTGTATGATACTCTAATGGTGAACATATGTCATTACACATTTGTCCAAACCCATAAAATGTATAACACCAAGAGTAAACCGTAATGTAAACTATGAGTGATAATGATGTGTCAGTGTTGGTTCATTGATTATAACAAATGTACTGCCCTGGTGAGGGATATTGATAATGCATGTGTGTGGGAACAGGGGATATATGGAAATTTTGTACCTGCTTTCCAATTTTCTGTAAACTAAAAACTGCTCTAAATAATAAAGTGTGTGTGTGTGTGTGTGCGCGCGTCTGTGTGTGTGTATGTGTGTACAACACAACATCCTTAAAACTTAGTTTGCTCATGTGTACATTAGACTTTTTGCAGGTCACAAAATAAAGACAGGTGACACTTCATTATGGTGGATTCTTCTATTTGTACACATAAAACAAGGTGATCAGCATTTGCAATCTCAAAATATTACACAAATACCACAAGTGAACACACTACACAAAGAGAAAATTTCATCCTCTATATTATCATATATTGCATAAACATATGATTTATATTGATATGTAACTTGAATACAAATATAATGAACTGGAGTTTACATTTTCCCTCAAAACTAAAATGTTTCTATTTGCTTACCTAGATTCCCACAACATAATTCATGCTGTTGGCTCCCAAGGGATACTGAGGCTGGAGGTCTGGATCAATATAGTCAGAGACCTCTTAGGTGGCCAACAACATCAGGCTGGCCTGCTTCTCTGTCTTCTGCCATCTGCTCCCACCCTCATGCTCTAGAACATTGTCCCTCTGACCTTCTCCTGGTCCTTCCTGGCTCATAGTCTTTGCCCAGGCTGCTTGTTTTACTCTGACAGCTTTTGCAACTAGCTGTGTGATCCCCTCAAATAGGTGAGTTCTCTCTCTCACACAGCAAGAATCCTTGCCATTCTTCCCAAAGTTGGAGCTATCCAATTACTTGTGCAATTGTTAGATTATCACCTGCTTCCCCTTTTGACCATGAGCCCCATCCTGGGAAGGGTCTGGATCTGTCTGTGTACTACTGTGTGCCCAGAGCCTAGTGCCATGCCTGCCTGCCACACAGACAGCGCCCAATAAATATCTGTTGAAAACATGAATGAGTATGTGAGTAAGTGAAGGTGTGAACACATGAAAGGATGACATGAAGCTGAGTTAGAAAGGCAGAAAGGTGAGAGGGTTTTGTTTTGTTTTGTTTTCTGCTGAAAGGAAGGTGTGAGAAAAGCAAATGAACCAATACCGTGGGAGGAGAATAAATAAAGCAGGTGAAGCAAAAGGTTGGAAAAGAAGGAGGAAAGACAGAAGCAAGGTCAAGGGTAAAGGAAAGGCAGAGAAAGGAAGTTTCAGGGTCTGCTTGCCCCTCCTATCTCCCGGAAGGGCTGCCAGAACGAAGGGTGGAGTGAGCAGAGGTGGATATGCCCCCCAAGAGGGCCAGGCTGAACACAGGGTTAGGGTAAGTTCAGTTATCTCCATATCACCTGTAAAGCTTTCCCCTGCATCTCAGAGGATTCTAGTACCAGTGAAAAGCTCAGCGTTATATCACCTTAGTCCCATCACATTTTACTGGACCCTCCACTCCTCTATGAGAAGAACCAGTGAAAACTGGCAGTAATGGCAGGAGACAGGAATAGCTGACAAACCTTTTGCAGCACATTGCATCATCTACCAATGCTCTGATCACTTTTCCAACTATCTGAGGGTCGGTATACCCGAGGGAGCTGGGGTTACTCATGACAGAACAGACCCAGGAATCACCTGGAAAAACCATGTCTGAGCTCTCCCCATCTGTTCCCAACCAAGACCAACCCACCCCACAACACAATGAAAACCAACTCACCCAATCTGATCATGTAATCTTATTAAAACTATCTTTACAGCCCAAATGGCAGTTAGAATGAGTAATGGCAAAGCAGAAATGTTATCATCTGTTGTCAGAGAAATAGCTGCTAATTCTCAATTTTGGATGCTCCTCTGACAGGCTTTTGCTGAAGTGCCTAATGATGCTATTTTCTGGTTCACAATATAAAACCTTTCTCAATAATGCTATATGGTCGGCATCACTGATATTTGAAAATTTAAAACTGAAATGATAAAAAGCAAATTAAAATACAATTTTCTCAATTGGAAAAGAAGAAAGGAAGAGTCTGCCAAAAAAGGAAATGAACTGGTTGCTGAGCAGTACTATTTCAGAAGCAATTCTAAATAAAAATCAAAACTTACTCTTAAAACTAGAGGATTCCTTGCGTTGGTTTTCATCCTCTAATGAAATTAACCTAAAAATTAAAAAAGAAAGAGTTTAGCAATCTAGTCCTGAAAATTTTATATTTATGATACAGCCAGTTTTTCTGTACAATATTACTACACTTATAACATACAGATATGTGCATGCGCACATGAAAGGTGAATGTATAGTCACTTATATGCTATTCATTTTTTTAAGAAGAAATAAATTTGCTGGATTTTTCCTGTCCTAAGGCTGGTTCATAGCATCTGAATAGCTGAATCTGGTTTCATCATAAGTCATATGTCCTGTAAATATCTAGGTGGGTAGTTGGTAGGTACAGCTAAGATATTTCACATTTATCACTTTTAAAAAATAGTTAAAAAATTTATGGCCAACCAGCGGTTTCTTCTGACTCCTGGTGTTACAGGAGAGGATACCTCAGGAGGTTAGCTTAAATTATCTAAGGCTGAAAGCAAGATCATTCTCCAGAAGACTGTCACTACTCAACTCTTACTGTATATGGGGAAGATCACAGCTGAGATGTATCACCAACTTGAGATTCAGCTGGTGCTTCTGAACCTCCCTTTAAAGCACATTTACCTCTATTATAGTTACTGGATTATACTTTTTGGCTTTTAAAAATGAAGTACTAAAATAATGGAGAAATCTGAAGTTAACAAAAACTAATCAAGAGAATCGTGGGTAGTTCCTTTCTGAGTAAAGGCTAATGCTTCATTTTGATCGTGGTAACATATATGGTGAAAAAAAGGTAACCAGCACACATTCCAGGCCTTGCCTCTTACTACACCACAGGCTGTGGGCAGTCTCTTAACTTCTTTTGAGCCTTGCTTCCACCATTTACACAACAGGGAAATGCCGGCATTGATAACACCAAGGTTTGGCATGAGAATGGGTAGAGATAACACAAATAAAGCACCTGACATTGTGATTCGTACATAGTAGGTATTCACTAAAGGGTATTTAGCATTACTATTATTACCAGGAATAGGTTAAACTGCTCCCTACAATAGTCAATTGTACTAGATTCAGATCATATTCTACAGTGAAAAGTTGTCTTTGCTCTATACCATAGGAATTTTCTAGTTTTTGCTTTAAAATTAAAAAGGCTAATATTGGCAGCAAATACCTCTGTGTGACAAAAATATATACTTAAAAGTTTATTTAGAAACACAGTAAAAACATAAGCGAGTTTTATCACACAATTATCATCTAAATTTTTTGTGTGTGGAAAAAGAATCACAAATAGAGGTAAGATAATCTACTTCTCTTTCCTAGGTCAGCCAGTTTAGGATTAACCCTGTCCTTGCGTGCTCTGGCACCTGAATAGGAAAGGACACAGATTCACACTGAAACCTCCTTGCTGAGTGAGATTAGGACACATCATGCTCCAGGTAAGTGGAAAAGTTTGTCTCAGTATGTAAAATAACCAGAGGTGTCTTCTTTGCAAAGTGGCAATAACTGAAGATGCAGCACTCACTTCCTGCACTCAAAGCTGCTCTCTGCTTCACAGAGGAAAAAAGCAGAAGTTCTGAACCTTAGAAAACAAAATGTCAGAACCCAGTGCTTCTGTAGGGTAACACTTTAGTACTAGATGTCTTATGAGACAATTTCATAGGTTATTTCCTTCTATGAGAGAAAAGCCAGGGGATTTCCTATCTGGGACAGGATTTTGTAAATGATGGTAACAAAAGGACCAGATTGGGTCCAGAAGCCTGAGAGAGCAGGAAGCTGAGGCTGAGGCTGAGGCCCCCAGAGAGCCAGAGAGCACTGGAAATGTGTGCCTTTGCTTGTCCCAGTCAAATCCTCACAAGTGTGCTCCTTCTAAGACCCCAGAAGTGAGTCTCTTATTGGGAAGAGTCCTGGTCTAGTGGGAATATGTGCAGGACAAGTATGGCCTTCATTCTAATACATCAACTCAGAAAAAGGAGGAAGTAAAGCAATTGCCCTGTGTTTGAGACCCCCAGCAGACTTGGCCAGCGAGGACTGTACTGCCCTTGCCTGTGGGAAGAAAGATTCTGCCAAGAGAAGTAGCCATAACTTACTGACTCGGCTCCTCCACCGTGGCCTCTGAACTTTCCTGCTGGGTGACCTTCTTCCTTTCTTCTTTCTCAATCAGCTTTTTCATAGGGTCTTGTAAGCTCTTGAACACGATAATGAAAAGGAAAAAAGAAGAGAGAGAGAGGGAGAGGGAGAGGGAGAGGGAGGGAGAGAGGGAGAGAGAGAGAGAGAGAGAGGGAGAGAAAGATCAATAAAAAACTCAACAACCTCTGGTCCAGAAAGCAAACCTTGAATTCAAGGTTTGGGGGGTTACCCTGAACCTACCCAGTAGACAGACATGAAATTTTATATGTTCTCAAACCCATCCACAAAATACTAGCCTATAATGGAGAGTTGTTTCGCCACTAGATTTATGCTTTCCCTTTCACGATAAGTTATTCAAAAGAAGGCCTTTTGGCTATTGCTAACTTTATTTTCCATCTTTAACATGCAGCAAAGATAAACATTCTGTTCTGCTAGCAGCCCACACACTGACAGAGTAGAAGCTTTTCTCCCTCAAAGATGAGAAAATTTCATTTTATTTTTAATTTTGTTTGCAATTTTGTGATCTAAAAACAGCTTTTAAAAATAAGAGAAAACAAAACCTTTTTTTAAGAAAAAAAATTAGCAGCTTAACATATTCCAACAAGTTTACTCCCACAAGTGGACAGAGCAAGTGCATCCAAATCTTTGTAGATTAAAAGATGGGTGGGGATCTTCTGATGGCAAACTATTTCTTGGAGTTATTGTTCTCAAGTCTCATTAAATGTATAAGGAAACACTTTCAAAAAAATCCAGTCTAGAAACTGTACACCAGAAAAAGCAAAACACTCCCATAACAACTGAATAATGAGTTATACAAAAAGATCTCTACTTGTGGCCCTAATTAAACCACAAACCTATAAATACACATGAAACATCTCAAGATACTTACTTATCCTGCTTATATTCTTAGAACTTTTAAAACCTGTCCTTTGGGGCTTCCTGTCTCCTCCTCTTTCCCCTTCCCACCTTTCTCTTCTCTAGTGTGACCCACACACAGAAGGCGGCAAGCATGTTTCCTACACCAGCTCTGATGGATTCATGGTCTCTGATTGCAGGCTGGATGGAGATGGTGTGGAGGCAGTCTCTGTGAAGCCCAGCTGTGATGGATGGTGGTGCCTGCTGTGGGCGCCAGGTGAACACGGGTGTTCCACTCCTAACTGCCAGCACTCTCACTCCCTATATGGAAAATTTTCCCTAAAATACCTAGGCAGTCAGGTTACTGTTTTTCTCAAGTACCCACAGTAGTTCCCCACTTGTTTCCACTTCTAGTCTAAACCTCTCTGCCTGATTTTAAAGATCTTCTAAAATGTGATTTTATCTTACTCTCCCACATTGCTTCCCAGTGGCTCCCAAATGGGAGCTTTCCATTCACCTAGGTCTTTCTCATCGCCTCGTATGTACTAATTGCTCCCTTCCTATCTTTGTTCATTCTGTTGCTTTACCCAAAAAAATCTCTACCTATTTGTCTACCCTCAAGAGTCCTATAAGTTTTTGCAAAGCCCAGATCAATTACTGCCTTTTCTGTAAAACTTCATTCACTAAGCAAGTCAAATTCAAGAAAGTCCTTCCATCTTCAAGGTGCATTTATAGTCTTATTCATACTTGATTATATCTATTCTGTATTATGTTTTCTCTTAAAAAATATTTTTTAAGTTAGAAAAATAATAGAACCACATGTAGAATGCTTGGAGAATTAAAAAAAGATAAGTTACTCATAATTCCATTCTCCTCCCCAAAAAAGTTAATATTTTCATATATTTCCTTTCTGGTTTTTCATACTCATACTACTTTTATAATCAGAATCATGTATATAGATGTATTCTTAAGCAATATAATATGTGTAGGTATTTTATAATGAGAAACATTCTTCATTAGAGAATATAAAAAAGATTTTATATATCCTAAACATTCAATATTCAATTATATATAAATATACATTCATTCACCATTTTTCTAACATAGGGCCAAGGTTTTCTAATTGAATACATGTCCTATGCTTAGAGTTCTGAAACATCTTCTTGCATAAAGGACATCCTTAAGGCATTACCATCATTTTTAATTACTATTTCTGGACATTTAGATTAGTATACTCAGTCAACAAATAGTTTCAGAGTATTTACCATGACCAGGTGCTGTTTTGGGTGCAGGGGATACACACTGGTGAAGAAGACAGACAGAATTATCAGTTAGTGATGAGTCTAGGCAGGGAATTAAAAAGGGGGATAAAAAGTGATTGGATCACTACCTCAGTTAGTAAGAATGTTCTCTTGTGGAAGTGACATTTTAGCTGAGAGTCAAATGACATGAAGGAGCCATCCTTGCATAACTCAAGAAGGAGAGGCTTGAACGCAAAGGCCTAAGGTAGTAATAGCTTGGCTGGTTGGAGGAACAAAAAGAATCCACTGGGATTGTAATGTAGTGGGCAAGAGGACAGGTCTTATGAGATCAAGATAAAGAGGTCAGCAGGGGTCACACAGGGAGAACATTCCTTTACCCACATTCATCAATATTTAACACTATGCCCCATTAATTTCATCATATTCTTTTGCCCTCTATGTTTCTCCAATGTATGACAACTAAATGGAATCCATGATTATCAGTTGGAGGGGGAAATGCTATAAGGGACATTATTGGAACATATGAGGTAATTGGAATATGGACTATAGTGTAGGTCTTCTTCTTTTTTTAATCACATACCCCAAAGCATCTGGTAAAAGCTAGGCACATGTGTGCATGTGTGTGTATATTTCAGAAATGTACAACCACAAGGAGGAGTTCAACAGATGCCAAAGACTTACTCTTTTCAATAGATCTGCCAATCACAGCATTTTATTCACACACACACACACACACACACACACACACACACACACCCTTCCAGCAGTTTTATTCCCCAAAGAGTAGTCCAATCCTGGTCAACATGAAGCCAGGAGTATTTTCAGCTAAGCTTGTGATGGCCCCAAAATGCACTTTTCAATTCTGTGAGGCTTGTCCAGGCCTCCTGGTTTGCTCAATTATCTTCTCATTGCATTTCCTTTTTCTCAATCAGCACTAGGCAGGGCCAGGACTTGTCTGCTCTCAGCCAGCTGCGTCTAGCTGCCACAGCGCTTGCCTAAGACCCTGAGATGCCCTTGACAGCTCCATGGTTATCATCCTTTCTGTCTCTAGACCGACCTCTCCTCATAACCACACTTGGGCAGTTCTAAGACAATCCCTTTGTAATGTAAACCACTCCTTCCTTCTTTTCAACCCCTTCCCTGTTGGGCCATTAGCAGGGACTCAATTGTTGGCTCCCTGTCACCACAATCACAGTTAAGTCACTATTGTGCTTCACCAACAGAATGGCTACAGTTCCAATTGCTACTTTATTATTAATTCCTGTTACAATTGCTCATCTCTTCCTGCTATTACCATTGTCCCTATAAGGATTTGGCTGTTGCCACTCAAGAGAGGTGCTAAATATGTACTTGTTGTTTGATAAATTCATGTACATAAGGTTAAACTGAAAAAATTAGAGCTCTTAAAGCCTCAGGGGAATAATTAGAAAAAGGTTTATGAAACCACAAGCAAAATTAATACCAAGCACCTGGGTTTATTTATTAAATATTAGCATTTTGAGCTAAGGGGAATCTTGTGTGGGGAATCTATCAGCTTTATTGAGATACAATTCATGTACCATAGAATTTACCCACCTAGAGTGTATACTTCAATGGTTTTCAGTATAGACAAAGAGTTGTGCAACCATCACCACAGTCAATTTTAGGACGTCTTCAAGGGGCATCTTTTGAAGCAAGAGAGTTTTAGATTAAACTCAGCTAAACACTCCTCTATACAGCAAGGAAAAAAACCACAACAGGTATGGAACTTGTTTCTTACAAAGATGGTAAACAATGAAGACAATCAAGAAACTCAGAGGAACTCTGAAACAACATGGAGGACAAATCACGTCCCCTTCCTCTCTCAATATTAGTTCCTGGGTGTGACTGTCAGATATAGGATATTCTACTTGGAGAACCAATGCTTTCACCAAAGTCTGATGAAAAGGTCCAAGTGGGGGCTGGGGTGGAGGGGATTCTTTATGGTATTTTAAAGTCTGCAACTCAGCTGAAAACACTTAACCTTGTAGCATCTGTAAAAGTCAGAGGTGACAGCATTTTCTGTGTGACATGAACACCTGCTCAGCCAAGAGGCCTTGGCTGACTGTAGAGACAAGGCAGCCATCAGATGGAACTATTTTGAATCAGCGGCTGATGGAAGCCACATTCAAATCCATGTCCAGAAATGAAACGTCAAAGCATTCTGTTTCTAAACCCCAAACCCACTAGGTTCTTCATTAAAATTGTTCATGAAGATCACTTTGTATTAGCAGCAAAACAGCATCATACAAGACTGAAAGGTTTCGTACAGAAGAAAAAATGTTTTTATACTAGTAACCTTTCTCTGTTTAAAAGGCTGCACTGACATGCTAATAGTTTCCATCAATGCTTAAATGGTTTCAGGAAGCACACACACACAATATATAAGATCAGTGTGACAGAGGAAATGCGCAGACCGAGCTTGCAAAAGTGTCTTAGAAAGGAAACAGCTTAATATAATAATGGGAGTTACTACTTCCTGTATTAGGAAAATAAAAGCAACAGCAACATTCATCTGAATGAAAGCAAAACTACTCAGCAAAACAAATTTCACAGACAAAAGGCTAGCAGCCAACCCTAATATAATGACCTACGTTTAAGTTTAGCCTTGACAACTGAGTAACATTTTCTCTAATCTTTAATTATGACATTTAATTTTCTTAGGCTACTTCCCATTAATTATACTGTATGCATATGAAGGTGCCAAATAATTGTCTATAAAAGGAAACAAAAGTGCTGAAAATAGGAGGCATGGTTAAAAGATGGTGAACTCGGTTGTGTGTATGTTTGGGTTTATATAATTGGTACCACATGAGGAATAAAAAGCATGATGATGTGTACAGCCATACAATTCATGGATTTTAGCACATGTGGCCCCCCACTCATGCAGTTATAAATCTATAAAGATACTATGTAAGGAGCA